GGAAAATTTCTTGTGCGCTTTGATTACGGCGGAAAATTCGTCGGAAAACTCAAATCATCCGCCATCATAATCACCAGCGACATATAGCAGTCGGGTAACCCCTTCATTTCTAAACCATGATAAACTAGCGCTCGCCTACGGGCCGGGAATTTGCCTCTATGATTTATGCTAATGCGTCGGACCTACCCCAAAGCAGCCTCCACTAAACGCTCTATTAGGCTTAAGTTAATTACGACTACCTTCCTGCGGCGGGCCGCCCCGACGCGCCGATCGTTACCATATTACAATACATATATATTACGCCCGATTAACAACGCCAGCATGCGTTTCATGAATGTTAAAAAATGTAAGGGTGATCAGGGTGGCGATTGCAAGTGACCCCGCTTTCTTTCCGGCTTCTATATCATTCGTAACGGCCGAGAAGAATATCATTTTCCCTTATTGCATCTTTTATTTTCTCATCTTCTGCTCTCCTTCGTATCCATCCCCTTTTCCATTGTCGGCATACGTGAGTTTTCCTTTAATCATACGTATCTAACATATGTGATTATTACCTTAGGGAAGATGACTCTTATCATGAACTCGTCTTTTGCATATGAAATGTAAATCGATCTCACATTTAAAAACACTGACATTTCAAGATAATATGAAATAAGTGTGTTTTAATATATGTAATTAAATAAATAAATGAATACTTCTTAATATCATATTAAAAGATTATTTATCTTTGATATAAGAATTTTTATTCATTTATTCTTATGTATACATAGAAATTTTTTGTACGCAAATAGGAAACTCATAATTTTTCTGGCATGTAGGTTTTTTTAATAATTTTTTAAAATATAAAAATAAATCTATGTTTTTATTGGATTTGTAAATCAAACCGACAAATTTTCAAGATTATATAATTAAATACGATTAAAAAATCTATATCGAGGAATTTAACATTTAACGGAGGACATTGTATATATATTGCGACAAAAAAATTATTAGAAATTGGATGGATATTGTTAAACGATCCCCATGTTGGATGATCAAGGATAATGACGATCATTGAGAATTTCGGACAGTGGTTTCTTCCGGACTGGATGGACAATTATGGGACAATAACTTCATTTTATCCCTCGAGGATCATTTTCCCAATGGTTTATGATGCGTCTGATCGCGCCGTGATCGAGCATGCCGCCTAGTGATTTGCGCATACCTCGATATGCCATTTCCGACATAATCGCTAATTGACCCCTAGGTTTCAGGGAAAAACATAAAGTCGCAAACGAGGGAGAAGCGGGACCACCCCCGCGGTGATGTTGCTACACTTTTCCATCGCGGTCAACCACCGAAAACATGAGCTTAGAGTTGATTGCTGTCGTCAGCTCTGGGAAATCGATCTCTCGGGAAGTCGACTTTACAATTTTGGATAAATGCGCATATACGAAATCGTAAAGTCATTCCATTTCTTTTCAAACGCAGAGAAAAATGTGGAAGAATCTCAAAGTAGTATTTTTTATATTTATTTAAATTAAATTTGTTTTATTTATTTAATATGAGAACAATGGGAAGTTTTTAATTAATTCTTAATGAGCAGCAACATTTTCCAAATTTTTATAAAATGATGGGAATTATCTAAAGTGGATAATATTATTATTGATGAGTGGTTGATTCAATTGACGATATGAAGACTATGTGTGTTATGATCTTTAAGACCTTGATTGGATAGATTGGTATTTCGAGACGAAGAAATCACTGTGGGCAGAATGTTCTGCGAGGAATCGTCTCGTTTCGTGTCTTCGTTACGGCTAAGGGGCCTTGTTTGAGGAACGTTTCACGCGCTTAACAGAATAGTGGAGCGCGCGTTTCATGCTTAAGATCATCGGGCGCAACAACATGACGAAACCAATATTGGTGGTATGGTAGCAGTTCTTTCATTGGGACAAAACGAGGAATCTGAAAAGCGGAACCGTATAATGCGGTAATTGTATTCCCGGAATCAGCGTGGCACGCACTCGCTTAACAAGCCTCTACGAGTTCGTTCTGTCTGTCTGGCTCTGCAGACACGAGAGCAGGGCCGAGGGGCAGGCAGCTCGTGGTGAACGACACCCTGCCACCCATCAGCAGATACCACGGTAGTTCATTAATTAAAAAAAAACATACGTATACTAGGAACGCAAGAAATTATTTATTAGGACAGCACGAGATGTATGTCAATTTATTGATCAATCTGGAATAATATTTTTCTACGATATAATTAATAGTTATAGGTTTTTCAAGATTTTATAAATCTTGATTTTGTATCTATATCTTTTGTATATCAAAAAGTTATTGCTATAATTTTTCCAACGATTTTCTTAAGTATTTAATAAATAAATATTAAAAGATAATATCACATATATCATACATATTTTTCTAATTTCTGAAAAAAAGTTTGCAGAATTCAATATGTATTTAAGTTACTTCCACCCTTTTAACATTACACTCATAGAATTTTCAGTAAATATCTAACAATGAAAATTTGATCCAGTGAATGAGTTAAAAGTTATGAAGGACGACCATCCGTTCTCGGAAGGCAACAATAATGATTTTGGGTTAATTGCTCGCTTTTCGATCTAATGGAGAACATATCTATCAGAGCACGTTGGATTCAATGAATTATTGATGAAACGACGTGAGATCGCAGCGAAGGGAAGGTCAGTCGGTTCCCGCGATGGCGGAGGAGAGGTCGTCGTGAAGAAGAGGGTGGAATAGAAATGTGGCGTTTATCCGAATATAACTATCCCAGCCTCGAAAAAATTCCAGTCCAGTCCGCGAAAGCTCACGTCTCTATCTGCGAATGCATATTCATCGGACTGCCCGTAAAGGGCTCGGAAGGATACGCAACGCGGGATAGGAAATCTTCGTGGAGGGCGGGCGGTGGGATCGCACCGTCATACGGCGCCCTCATAAATTACCGCTAGTTGCCGGGTAACATGTTATTTGCCACCGAGCTCCACAAATGAGTTCACTTTGTATTTAATTACTCGACTCACGCCCAGGGCGTATCCCACCCTGGCGGATCCACCCTGCATCAGACCGCGTGCAGTTTCTCTCTCTCTTTCTTTGCCTTCATTATTCTTCTCTCTCCTCTATATCGTTTCTCTCTTCTTTGCCACGTGGAATGATTCATGTAATTCTCATTTTAGATTCTTCTTGATCTGATGCTGCTTGTCTAGTAGCTCTTCTTATCTTCTGTGATTCGTAAATAAATTACATCATATTTTACTTCGTTTTTAAATATTATATTTTTTTTCTTTCTCATTACCGTATGCATAATTATAATTATAATTTTTCAATGCATTTTATATTTAGAGATTATGCGAAACAATTTTTTATTGTAATGACTCTGTATTTCAGTTTATCACATTTATATCAGGAAATTGTAAGCCATGTAATTTCAGTTCTTCAGAAAAGCTATTTCTTGATAAATGCGTTATCTTCCGTCCGTTCTGATTGCGTCGGCGAGTTTCTGGCAAGTCAAGAAGTCCAGACGCAACAGAATGAGTGGGTTGAGCGTGCAACACCGACGGGCAGGTAAAAAGGTAAAAGGTATAGGTGGATAGGGCAAGGGCAGAGGCAGGTAGGCCAGACTTACGTTTCGCCGTCCTAATTATTGGTTCCGCCACAATTCCATCCGTGGAACGAGATGATAATAGATGAAAGCGATCAATTTTTAAATTGCGCCTGATGAACGGAAAAAAAGTGAGAGAATATCGCGCGGGATATTGGAAACTGAAGAAAAATCCCTTGTAACACCTGGGACCTACATAATGCGAGGAAAAAAAATTTCAAGTGATATTCATTCTTACTAAATACGTCAATTACATCGATATTTTGCTAATTTTCCATTACACTTTCTGTTTCTTCTATTGCATTCTCTGGCCTTTTATCATCATATTCTCTTTCTAGTTTTTTTATCGCTTTTTTACTTGTTATTTACTTGTTATTAACTCGTTATTTTTATTCTAAATGTGCACACTTTTCTCTCATCTTGATAGTTATTAGCTACTGCTATTTCTCTTGAAATAAATTTTTTTTGCAATTCATCTTTATTAATTATCATTATTTACTTCGAACAAAATCTATTTCTTGTATATTTTTAAAGAATTTGCCTTAGATTGTTAATAAATGCATTTACCTATCTGTCTATCTGGGATTCTCTGAGATTATAACAATAGTTCGAAACGCGCGAGACGAAATCGCACATCGATTTCCGCGCACTTTGTACGTAAGTTCTCGTCGTAGATACGGAAGATTTTTAAGTAGAAGGGATTATTCTTAGGAAGAATTTTTGGGCGACTGTGAGACGATCTCCGAAATCCAAGACGACAGGCGCGCTTGAAACGACAGGGGAATGACAGAGATCGGGTTGCCACGGACCACCGTGTGTCGCGGTCACCGCAAATTTTATCCTACCTGTTTTCGCTAATTGAGCGAGTAAAGATGTAACTGGACCTTACGCCCTTAAAGTATTTGCACCCTTTTGTGCAGATACGATCCAAGTATGACCAAAACCAGCCTGATCTGTTAATTCTTAATGAATCTCTAAATGCATCAAAAGATGCATTCTAAAGTTTTAACAAAGTTTTTTGGGCGAATGTCCGAATACATATTACTCTTATATTATGTTTAACTGGCTTTTTTTGTTTAGAAAAATATTTAAGAATTAAATATGTGTTAATTCGTAAAAAAATCACATTTTCCAATGTAAACATACAAAAGTAACAAATCAGATTTATGCAATATTAGTGACAGAAAATTGTAATATTAAAATTTAATGTTTTTGCTTTGATGATTTAGTTAATGTGGATAACTTTATGATATTTAAAATGTTTATATTGTTAAATCTTATTGTTAGTATTATATTATTTGCAATCATTTTCATCGAAAATATCATTTATATAACGTTTGCATTTTAATAAGTTCCTAAAATATGTTACATATATGTATACATATATGTAATTCACAAAGTACACAAAGTGATCCAATTACTAATTATATAATACTTTCCACCTGTGCGCTCGTAGACCAAAACTCGCACGCGCATCCGTTGTATGGTTACGAGGTGCAAACTCTCCCTCATGCGCGCGTGCACATATTAACGGCGATTTTCCGGTGTTGTGTTTGGGGAAGCGTAAGAACATATACAGACTAAAGAACGAAGTAGCAGCTTCGACAGCAGGTAGCGAACATTATTGCAAGAAGAAGGAACCTTCATCATCATTATCGTTTTCATTAAATTGCACTTGCGTTCCCCCATACATGTAAAAATCCGCGTAAAAAATACACAAAAATATATTATTTTGCATGAGAAAAATCAGATCTTCAGCAGTAAACAGTAAGATCTGACTTGCGACCTAATTAATATATCCATCAGTTTCGTGTGAATTCTCGATTATAAACGATCGATTCATTCGCTTAATATTCATTCTAATGCTTTTAATTTTTTTAATACACTATGACTTTAATGGTTACGCGGTTCCATGTGAGATCGTACGTGTACAACGGAGGCGCCGGGCCACCTGTTGCGGCCCCCGCTCGCGTACCTCGACTTGGCCGGTTCCGGGGCCCCGGGTTCCTTCGTCTCGAAGTGGGGAACTGTGCTCGACGTTGATTGGCGATGCGGCACGTGCTACGCGAGGGTGCCTCGCTCCGCAAACGCATAAATATCCCGATGCCGTTTCACCCGACTTCAGAACCACCCTGTGGCTCGTCTTGGTTCGATATCGCGCGTCGATTCGTATTCACCCATCATTGCCGATCTCGTGTAGCCGATCGCGATATCTCGTCCGACTCAACTTGGTCCGAGTAAGGGAACGATCTCTGAGGAACTGCGGAAGAGGAGGAGAGACTTTCGATCGCGGTTATCAAGTGCGGTTTCAGTGAAAGGATCTTCGAGCGCGACTAGAAAGAGAGTCGCCTTCACACGCGTGCATTCGTAGCGCGTGTACGCGTTGTTTCGTGGAGATCCTGCTATGGAACTGCAGGAGATGTTTCGTTACGGATACATGTTCCCGCCGCGTGAGGACGAGTCGCTCGCAGCCTGCACTTATCTGGACCTGCCGAATTACCCCAAGACGAGCAAGATCGGCCTGCCACCCGTAAGCACCCTCGCCGTACCCCAGAGCCTCGTCTATGACAGCAGCAACTGCAGTGACGGTTGGCACACGCCAAGTCCCACCGCCAGCCTGCGATCTGTCAGTCCGGCCACGACGTTGTCGATCTCGTCGGAACCAGAGATCAACAGCGCGCCATCGACGTATCGGTTGCTGGGTTCGATTAGTAAAGATAAAAGAAGCGTGATGAAGAAGACCTCGTCGATGATCGGGTTGAGCAACGTCGGACACAAGCGACTGCGCGTCAACGCGATGGACCATCTCGTGACCGAGGATATAATCAATCTGGACGGCGAGCGAGATGACGCCGAGGAGACGATCATCTTGGATACTGATAAGACGCAGTCCTGTCACGGCAGTGTCATCAGCAACTCTAGCGGCTGTTTATCCGACAGAATAATGGACGGTGATAGCGAGGAGGACGCGGAGATCAGCGAGGACGGCGTGGATCATCCGGAGAACGCGAATGTCACTTCCGGCGATGCGGTTCGCAGACGGGGCAAGTACGTCAATTCCACCATCGTCCGAAAACGCAGGCTGGCCGCCAACGCGCGCGAGAGGAGACGGATGCAAAATCTGAACAAGGCCTTCGACAGACTGCGCGCTTATCTGCCGTCTCTGGGCAATGATAGACAGTTATCTAAGTACGAGACGTTACAGATGGCTCAATCCTACATTACTGCGCTTTATGACCTGCTGCAGTGAAGAGAATTCGTTTCGCTTTCGATGTCGGAAGCCACTAAATTCGCTTAATCTTAAGGTAAAAGAAAGTCGCTTGAATGAGAATACGAGATTCGCGAGTTCTTCAACATTACTATATTAGTTGTATTGACATAACTGGACGTAAAACACTACGAATATTGACATTGCAAGCTTTACTTATGAAGACTACTTGATCAGAAAGCTGAAAAACAATAGATCGAGTCTATAATTTGGATTTAAAGAATGATTATTCTAATGAAATGCTAATATCATTGCATGTGCCTTGCAAAATAAAATTATCTATATTTGTAATACTGAAAGATAATTGGTAAGAAATTAAAATCTTTTTCTCTTCTTTTCTCTAAAGTTAGTAATTATTTCATTAATAAATAATAACGTGAAATGACGTGCATATATTGCTGCCGTTGTTTTCTTGAAATTATTTTTGTTAATATCGTTTGCCGATGCTCTCCACATGTTTCACACTATTTTTGATATTTATCTACAACCATTATTATATTCATGAAACTGCACGAATATACTGGATAATATAATATTGCCGACACGTGATCTCGTATAGAGTATTAACGATATTATACGTATGTAAATAAATCTTGTAAATTTTGTATTATAGCCCGTTATGAGAGTTAGTTAATCTTAAGCGCTGTATCATATTGCTCGCTAAATTGTGCATACTATAATTTATTTTTGATACGACAATTAGTTACGTATTATTTGCGAGACTGAAATGCGATGTATTCTTTTTTACAGAATAAAATTATTTTACAGTAACCTGCCACAGCTTATCTCATCCGTGATATATCATATCTCGAAATTTCTAAATATCTATAACTAATTTCATATTATCTATTATTAAAATAAGGTTAAATGAAATTGTGTAGTCGACCAAACTAGTCAGAAATATAATTTATTCAATACGACGTTTCGACCATATGGTTGTGGTCCTTATCAAGTATACAAAAATTAGCCGAAGTAGTAGTAATCAGAGTGTCGGCATAGATAATAATCTTGTGCAAGCACATGTCACATTTGCAAAACTTTATTTAGAAAATTCAATTTTAAGAACAAGTCAGAGACAGTCTCTGACGAGGTCCCACACGGACTCATTGTTCTTAAAATTGAATTTTCTAAATAAAGTTTTGCAAATGTGACATGTGCTTGCACAAGATTATTATCTATGCCGACACTCTGATTACTACTACTTCGGCTAATTTTTGTATACTTGATAAGGACCACAACCATATGGTCGAAACGTCGTATTGAATAAATTATATTTCTGGCTAGTTTGGTCGACTACACAATTTCATTTAACCTTTGAAAATTCGACTAGCGATATTAAGCTTCTACAAATTATTATTAAAATATTCTATTTTTCTTTCCAAAATTATTGCGACGATAATTTTGACGAATTTTAATATCTTTTTTTTTTTTAAATCCAATCTTTTATTATCATTTCGTCATCGTATATATTTATTAAATGTCGCGATTGTCAGCCCACTTTTCATGCGTGCACGCAACTCCTTAAAATAAGAATTTGTTAGTCGGAGTCGATGGATGGATGAATGAATATCCATTGAAGAAACGAGAGAGAAAAAGACGAGCAGCACCGCCATCGGTGGTCCATTCGTTATACGAAACCCGCGCGACGCAGCGGTGCCCGGTTTCATCGCAATTTGAGAAGAACCTCCAGACTTCTTTCCTTCGGCGATGACTCTTTCCTTTCTTCCTTCCTTTTGCATCTTATGTATTTTTGTCCAATCTCTTTGATGACTGCTAATTAAAGATTTCATTTAGCAATTATTTTAATAATATATTTCTGTAGAATTAATTTGAAAAATTTAAAAAATTTTTAATACAACTTCGAACGAATATCATGTGAAAATAACATTTCTTTATGAAAATGTTTATTTTTTTCTTTTTTTATGAATGTTATATGAAAATAAAAAAGAAAGGCTAAAAGACCGTGGCGCAAGATGTTAGAGCGTAAAAAATAATAAAAGACTCTACGTAAGAAACATAATATATTAATAATCATTTAGATATAAAAGTACATACGTATGTTTCGATCTTTTCAAGATTCTTTTCAATGTTCAAGAAGTCGTTAGAAAATAAACAAAATTAAAATTTAAAATAATAATAACAGAGCGCGATTAAACAAAGACAAGCACGATAGGAAACAAATAGACATTATGTACAATAATAACGGTCGCAAAATTTAAAACGCTAACAATTGATGTGAGGAATGAAAACGCATAGACAGTTAGTAAACTAAAAAAATAACTAATAATAACTAATAATTAAAAAAAATAACTAATAATGTCTAGTCATAAGCTAAATTTCAAAAGGTAATTAATTACTTTATGGTCTAATGATACAGAAATATTATCAATTAATCTATAGAAAACTGGTTCTACTCCAACATGTGTCTTACGTGTGTGTCGCGTGGCGACACTTAACTTTTCTTTGCCCTCGACACCAGGATAAGATCAAACTACCGTAAGTGGTCGTCGCGAAGTACCGATCTGAGATCCGCGCGGCTGGATCTAATCGCGAAAGTCTTCACATAGTGGAAGAGGAATACCAAGAGATCCGAGGATCGTTGTAGGGGAGGGACATGGGGCCCTTTTGGACGAAAGAACGTAAATATTTTTCGAGACGATTAATTCTGCCGAGTCGACTAACCACCTTCGCTCTGTCAGCAGGCTCCGTTTCTGACAAAGAGGAGTCCGGCTGCGCTGCAGTGGCTACTTTCGCGGGAAGGGGAGAGATAAAAGAATAAATGCCGCCGTGTTGTTGTCTCTGATCTTGGAGATTGCTTTATTTGAGAAACGGTCTAACGCGCGCGGACGCAGCCGAATATTTCGGTCCCCGATGCTACCGCATCGCTCGGGATCGACGAGGATGAAGGGGGTCGAGTAACGTAACGCATTATAAAGCATCGGGATAATGCAATCTCGCGACCGGATCGAGCGATAACCGCGATCGGCTGGTCGAAATTTGTCGGTGGTGGCCGCGCATTCAACAACCCGCGTCCGCAGCACCTGTACTTTCTCGTCGTCGTCGTCGTAGTCGTCCTTATCCCCTTACTCCTCTTCTACACAGGCAAAGCTGGGAACGGACTGAATGGTAATTTATGAACGGGAGGATGCGCACACCGGAATCGGAGGGTAGCGACGGCGGAAATACGCGTTTCATCGTGTTAAGATTCGGACAGCGGAACGGCTTCTTAAGTTATTGGCACTTCATTTTAATTGAAACTTTAGAGAGAAGAAGGGTATTAAGTTTTTTTTTATTTTTTGCAAGAAACTAGAAAAAATATTGTACTCCGACACAATTGAAGACATCAGAGAATACTCTTAAAAAATAATTTTAATTTACATCTCTCACAATAATATTTCTAACATCTAATTCTAAGAGTTTCAATTTAAAAATCGAAATAAATCTAAACATATCATTCACACAAATTTCCATATAATTCTAAATTATTTCTAAATTATTTCATTTAATGACCTTTACAATTTTTTATTTTATAAAATTAGATAATTGTATGAATATTTTTAATCGATATTTCATTGGAGAAGCATCTAAACACACGTGGCAAGTCGAAATTCAGCCATGGGGGAAGACAAACAGCGTATGTGCGTACTTATGCACTCATTGCAACTCGGAATTACTCGGACCGCGATCATAAATCAGTCGCTTTTCGCTCGCGTGATTAATGTACCTTCGCTCGTTCAAATTCGAGTCGTGCTGTACAATGCATTCGATGCAACTCGTTCTCGAGAGCTTGTTCTGAGGCAAAAAATATTTTTAATCGCAGGCAAAAATTGTTCTATAAGTACACGATTCGCTCGAAATTTTTACATATGTCAAAAAAAAATTAATCAACATATCGGAATTGAAACGTTAATTCTTCATTGTTCAATCTCGATATAGTGCATACATAAAAAAAAAATTTCGAAATATTATCGCATAGTCGTATAGTTCGATCCAGGTGGTCTGACGGAAGTCGATCGCGGGCATTGTCTAGGAAGAATGGAAAAGAGATCCGGAACGATGTTTCGTATACGATGATCGCGGTCCCACGACATTAATATCTTCTCGACGCGTCTGCATGCGTGCTCCCGCGAACGCTTCCGGATTATAGACGCAGGTAGACGGACAGCTCGATCCTGGAGAAGGCAACGAGCAACACGACCGCCCATTGTGCCGCGTCGATGATCCTGCGCGTCTCGCGCGTCTCAAATCGTAAATCGGCGAAGGATCCTGTACCTGCGAACGTTTTTCCCAACATGCTTGTATAGTCATGTACTCAGTATCGCCCTAAAAGATACGATATGTTGCGGTTTTCTTAATGTCTTCGATCCTCTCTAAATGTTGAAGGAAACTATGCGGACGAAATACTGTCCGATTATCATTAAAAAAATATTTTGACAGCGAATATACTCTTTTTCCTTTTTAAACATTAATGTATAATATAAATATTCATTTATCTAGTAGCAGAATTATTTTACGAATTCTTATATTAAATTCACTTTAGAAAATATATTTAATTCAACTTCGCGATCAAAATTAAGATGAGAAACTATTTATAATTTAATGTTTTTATATATCTGCATTTTTTATATATATTTGATATGTGTTTTATTGTTTCAAATGTATTTTTATATTAGGCGATATATATGAAATTATAAATTGAATTCTGTTGCAAATTATAAATCGTCTAAAAAGAAATCTTAAAAATCTTTATTTAATATTGTTTTCATAATATATGTATATATTTTTATATTATCGTAAATATCGTTATGCTAAAATTACGAAGTACAATTTTATGGCTCGAAGTTATTGCAATTTGAAAGTTTAATTTGCCCCGAAAAAGGGTTTTTGTTTTATTCTTGTAATTTCTTCGGATTATTGAACCGCTATGTATAATATTTGCATTATATTACATTAACATCATGCCTAAAATTAAATAAGAAAATTCAATTAATGCAAAATTGGAAAATTTGCGCATTCGTAGTTTGGCATAAGGATGTTGATATCAATATTTTAGTCGCAATATATAGTCGAAAAAAAATGAACATATTACATTTATCGGATACGCATAGAGGGAAATTGAAGCTCGACGGAACATAAACGCGAGTTTGCGTCCCTCGGTATCCCGAGGGATATCCTTTCGTCGGAAATCAACATCCTTCCCATGGCACTTTCATCGTCAATCGACGTTGCGCTATACACAATGCGAGAGCAAGTCGCTGACGCCGCTTGACGGTTTGTTTGCACGATCGTTTCGAGGCCGATTGAAATCCGCTTAAATGCGATCGAGCGACGGTTCGACGATCCTCGCTCCGTTCCACGTGGAAAGGTCTTTCGGTCGGAACCAGGGCGGAACGCACGTGGGATCGCGAAAGGGATGAGGGAGAGAATCGAGTCCTGGCGACTTCGGGGAGGCACGCGCTCGCGACACGCGCACGCTCTCCCTTCGCCACTCGAGATCGCCCCGGGGACATTAATCTCGTTTAATCAAACACCGGCTGGACCCGTCCGTCATTGTGTTTGCCATTCGTTGCGCGCGGGGACACGCTGTTTGCGCGAGTATTGTTAAAAATGAAAGAAAGCGACTTAGCGTAATCCATCTCCAAGTCGCGTTTCTTCCAAAGGCACGAATCTACTCGAGTTTCTCAAATCCTGCGCGAGATTCGCATTTACATGGACTGACAGGATGTTATCAAACTGCATCGATTTTTTCTAAATTTGTTTTTTATTTCAATTTCACGTAGCTTTGTCATAATAAATTGTGTTATGAATATAAAAATCATATCTTTATCTATTAACAAGTCTGGAAATAGCTTGTGAGAAATCATTTACATTCAATTGCTTATGTATTTATTATTAGCGCCTTTAGATTTTTGTTAATGAAATTAATTGAAACATCAATACCTAATCGGAAAAGAAAGAAAGAAAAGAAAGTAAAGCTGATCTATTACTCAAGATTACTTTTCGTAGCAAGATCGAAATAAATTTAAGAAAAGAATTTAAAAAATTATCAGATACACTTGAAATATTAAATAATATGTTGAGTAAAATTTTATTTATATGTATATTAAGAAGATTCACCTGAATAATCATCATCCTTATCTTTATCTTTCGTAGACGAATCCTTCTCAGACTCCCATTCGTTGCTTCGTCGATTCTCGGGGTCACCACGCATATTAATTAACAAACTCTGCCTGCACAAGGTTGAGATCGTACTCATGCCGCCACTATCGACGTTTTTGGCGCGAATCAATCGTGACAGCCTCAGCTTGCTGACAATCTTCGCCAGCGGCCCCGAAGAGTCGCGACGCTTTGCGATCGTCCTCGGCAAGGACTCGCATCCCCGATCGGTCGTAACTAGCCGGCCGAATGTATTGGGATCTATGTTAATCATACCAGCACTCGCTGATTTTACCAGCGATTCCGATCGGACATCATCGATCGCGAGATTTTTCTGACATGCATCGACTTTATCCTCGCTTAAAGAAATGATTTCGTCTTGCGCGGTCAATGACACCATTTCCGCTCGATTTCCAACGTTTTCTGTCTCTTTGGACTTCGCAGTAATCATTGTAATCTCATTCGCCTTCGACGTTTCGGTCGACATCTGAGTGGCTATCATCGTTGAACGTTTCCAAGGATTCGCAGCTTCCGTCGACTCCATCATGGAGCGACAGAAAGGACCGCCTCGACGCGACAGGAAGCTTTCCTTGGCGCGACGTATCCTAGAGGAGCGCGATTCTGGATCGCTGATTATGAGAGATTCTGTCGCTCGACCTTCTCTTCTCGCCGCAGCATCCGAAAGTATTCTAAGCTTGTGCATCAAGTCGGATGATACCGCGTCACATTTCATATGATTCTCATCCCTTTGACTTACTTCATCCTGTCTTTGGCCAAATTCGATCTCTTCTTGTATCCTTTCGTCTTGATTTCGACTGAATCTTTCTTCGTTCTGCTTTCCTTCAAAGTTCACTTGATTACACCTGACATCTGACCCGTGTTTTTCATCTTTCTGCGTTTGATTGCACTGGTTCTGTTTGATCGATGTTATTCTTGATGGATCTGGTCCTTCAGAAAGTCGTGTAGAAGTCGCCCCGAATGAACATATATTTATCGGCGCGGTCACAAACTTTGCGTCCGAGTGATGAATCTTTTCCCGATTTACATCAATTGATGATAGCAACTTTTCCTCAGTTAGTCGGTCATTGAATTTTTTATTATTCATACTATTCTTTTCGCAGGGCGGATTTTTTTGCTCTATTGTTTTTACATCTTCCGTTTTGCTTCCTAAGCTCTTTTTAGATTCAAGAGGGGTCTCGCTGTCTTTCAAGGTGGAGCGTAGAGGCCACGGTAAGGACAACGATACGCGCAATAAAGCGTCCTGTCGACATAGTTTGGGCGATGCCGATCTCGACTTGCTTTTAGATTTGGATGAACGTCGAAGTCGACCATCGATAGAGCCATCGCTCTCCTTTCTTGAAGATACCCGGTCCTCTGAGCGGCGAAACGGACCGAATATCATGCGTTTTGTTTTGATAAAAACGTTTTTGGAAGAAGAACCGTCCTTCTTGTTACAATCAATCTGACTGTTCCGAGTCGTGATCCTCGTAGACAGATTGCAATCGCTCGATCGATTCCCGACGACTTCATCCGGACGATCTACGCTTGCGAAACGATTTCGGGTTCTCTCTGTACTTTTTATTCCGTCCTCCGTGCTCGCCGTGGGAACGATTATTTTGTTCAATGTCTCCTCGTTGATCAGAATTTTTTCTAAACAGCGTGCTTCGCTATTTCTAGAGACAGTTATCGGTACAGTTTGAATCGTATTGGTCAAGAGATTTTTCGGAGTTTCCGAAAGATTAGATCTTTCCATTGCTGTCAACTTTGATGACAAAAGATTTTCTCTTATACAATTATTTCCATTATCATAAGAGGAACCGCATACTTGTTCGTGACAATCAACCGGTTCGTACAAGTGATTGTTCATCGTATCACTGCAGGTGTCTGTTTTAAATGTGAGAATTTCATAATGTCGATCAACATCGTTTTGCAGCTCGGGAGAACTGCAATTCTCATAATACGCTGAAGTAATATCGTTTTTAAAATCGTTTTTAATATTAAGATCGCAGGATTTCGACGTATCTTTGTTATTATCTGTCAGAAAGAATTATTATAATGAGATGTTTATGCAGGAAAATAAAAATATAAAACGAGTAGATAATAAAAATATAAGATTAGAAAAGAATAAAAAATACACACGTCTTACCTAAGTTTGAATTTGACAATTTCGATAAAGCTTCCATGGAATCGTGGCGATCTGAAGATGATATTGTTGTTGCCAACTGATAAGTGCAAAAATCTGTGCTGAGAATTATTTTTTCTCTTTTAGCCTCTTGAGTGTGTTTGTCATCTCGAAGATCCTCTGTGTCGCTCGTTTGTCCCTTATTCGATGACTCGTTTGCAAGGTCCTCAATCTTTCTCGTCTCGTTCATCTCCTTGGTCCACGTACGCGACGAGTCCTGGTTGTACCGACAGGATGCTAATTTCAATTGCGCTATGATAAAACTTACTTTTCCAAAAAGCTTGAGCTTCAACATAATGATTCGAGCATCTCGCAAATTTTGACAAATTCTGCTAAGTATTTTTTTATAAACAATTTGTTTCTTTCTTCATGATACGTTTATGATTTAAAAAATATTAGAACTAAATAAATAAAGCAACGTGCAAAATCAATATGTTAAAGCAAAATTAAATTATCTAAATGTACCATTAATTCTTCCTCATTTCGTATCGGTGACACAGTTTCGAAATTATTCGCAAAGTATGCAGATTCAAGGTTGTCATTTTCTGAAAGACAGCGAAAAATAAAATAACTTACGATTTACAAGATGAAAAACTTAGAAAATAAGAGATTATTTTGGCAATTAAATATTTAATCTAATATCTAAAAAAAATCGATGTAATTTTGATGAATGTCTTACCAAAAGAAGGCTCTTGTTTCTTGGTGTCATTTTTGCTCTTGTAAATCGGAGTAAGAGGAAATTCGAATGTAATCGAGTCTCTGAAAAAATGTCGTAAAATCATCAATTTTACGCTATCATAAAAAAAAGATAATTTTTTGAAGAAATAATTCGATTTACTTATTCGCCCCCTCATCGCGTGACTCGTCGCAAGTATCTTCAGTCCACCCAACTGATTGATCGAATTTTACAGAATCTAAGATCGAACAACATGTTTCCTCGGTACAGCCTGTGGATCCTTGAATCTCCTTGTTGCCTTCCTCACACAATGACTCCCAGTTCGGTTTATCTTCGTCCAAAAGTGTCGTTCTCTTGCGAGAACAATCCTCGGATAGCGAACAGCGTTCCGGACTCGGACTATTCTCGCTCGAGCGAGCTTCTGGATTAATCCACTTTCTGTTGTTCCATGGCTTGCAATTCTTATCATCCTCGGCTTCGACCAAAAATACCGGTGATGGCTCGTGGCTGGATGTAACTGTACCAAGAGGAACGGCGATACTAGTGGTTTCACTGGCCGCAACAGAGTATACTGGCGTTTGATGAGGTTGTACTCCAGTCAAAGGACTGGCGGTCTCCTCGATAACGTCCTCGATGTCGACAATCATCGCCTCCGGTTCGGAATCTTCCACTGTCATGTCTTCCGAGGGATCCTTGATTCCCTGCGAGTTATCTGTAACAAACATTATATTTATATTAATATTTATATCAATAGCGTTGATAGAGAATTATCTGGCAATAAATAGTAATCATAATTTTGATAAAACGTGAATAAATAGATAAAATATATTATAAAATCAAGTAAGAAAATAGCTAGAGATATATAGATCATATTTAAAACTAAAACTGCGACATGCAAAATTGTTGAATTTAAAAAAAATGATTAAAATAGTATGTTTACTAGAAACTGGCAAAGTGTTCATTCGAGTATCATCTTCGAGCTTGTCCGTAGAGATCAAAGATTGGAGGCTCGTGGATCGACGCACTGCGAACGATTCGTCGCGAACACTGCCTTCGAAGACACTGCCGTCAGACTTGGATCTTTTTAGGGTCCAGTGGAATGCACGATTCTTTCCTACGATTTGTGAAATTGTTTAATTATATAGTAATAATAATATTATTCTGTTTTAGAAAATATCAAGCTTCTCGAGAAATTATTTAATCTTACCCGTCGTATTCGATGATTCTGTCAACGTAGCTTCGTTCAAATCTTGCGTGAATGGCGTATAACCTGGTCCCAACAGACGAAACGTGGAGGATCTGGGTGATATTCCGCGATGCTTCTCCCAATCGTATAATTTCCTTGTGAATTCTCGGGATATGCCTTCGAAACGATAAGATCCGACGGATGTACGAATTAACACTTCGTTGCCACAGTTTACGCCTCGAGACATAGCCATGAATCTTTAATCAATGAAAAATTATCTTAATCAATGAATAATTATTTACAGTTGGCGCGCACATTATTGGCTTTTATTATTTTTTATATTTAACAAAAATATTGCATTAGAAAAATATCCAAACTTGTTAACACGATTTGAATTTCTGTACCTTAAATCGCCGTCAAAGCAATCATTCAGTTGTCTCGCGTCGCTCTCGCGACGTTCCTTGCCGATCCTTTGTCCAAATAGTAACAGCAGCTTTTCTAAAGCGAGAAACTCCGTTTCATCAATGACATCGGATGTGACGCGATTCATCGGCGATTTCGGTCTCTCGTTGATTCGACATGCGGCTTCGCTCATCCTCCTCCACGCTTCCATCCGCTTAATAAAGTCCTCGCAGAGATGTTGTTTTCCATCACTGCCAAAGCTCCCTGCGCTACCGATACTCGCGCAGCTTCCGCGCGAACCGATTGAATTCTGATTTTTCTATCATGTAAAAAATCTTGTATTAAAAACAATTATAATTGTGACAAAAATATTAATATTTTTATATTTAAAAAATAAAAAATAAATATATAATAATTATAATAAATATAAAAATATAATTATAATAAATATAAAAAATAAATTTAATATCTTTTGAACACAGGAGGTCCTTTTTTTACAGCAGCCCTCTCTTTCATTAGATCTCAAGGTACTCATTTCACGTGACATAATTGCTGGTGAGATCAACGTACATTGTAACACCTGAGCTCGGCTTTCGATGAGGAGGAACGCCAGAGCTGCCAGTCAGTCAGCCGTCGACGACTGACACGTTGCTGCTCGATGACCGCACCGGATCGTCGGCCCTTCTTCGTCCGCTTCCAGTCCTGTAGCTTCTTCCGGAACTCCGGCGCCAGTCGTTCCTCGTTCAACGGGAGACCATCACGAGCGTTTCGTGCGCTTTTCAGGCGCTCCCACTCGACCAGCTTCCGGTGGAACTCGGCACCGAACTTCTCCCGCAATGCTTGATAATCCTTGCGCGTCTCTCGTTCCCGACAGTGGTTATTGTTGTTGTTGTTGTTGTAGTTGCTGCTGATACCTGTAATGGTTTTACCGAGATCCTCGACGCTTTCGCTACAGCTGCGAGCTCGGCGTGTATCTGCGTTTATAATAAAAATATTTAATCGGCAACAAGAGGCACGAAATAAGGAGCATGCGAAAGAGTTAAAGGAACATTGGATGTGAATTTTCAAGGATGTTAGTTGCGTTTCTTAAGTTTTGAAATTTAAAAATAAAGACAAGCTCATGAATTACGTATTTATGAATATCTCGATATGAAACTCTGATTGTGAGACAAAAATCGGGGCGATCACGATTTGTGTCTCCTTTGTTGATTTTGGAATGTATGTGCTTAATTTTTGCTCGAAGTTATTTTATCGACTCGAAATGCGATATTTCGATATGTCTTTTGTTTGTTGATTTTTTATTTCAAGAATCTTATATTTTAATAAACAACATATGACATATATAAGTTTCATTCGGCATGTTGCCGCAAAATTTTCAAGTAGGTCGTCAAATTGTAAACAATATCGCGAAAAATTCATTCTCCGCTTTTCGCTTCAATAAAAAAATATCAAAAGATAGCAAGTTTACTAATTGGTCGGGAAGCAAAATTCATCTAACTCCCGTATATCAGAAGAAGCTTAAGCAATGTCCTAAACCATCGTTTGCACAATTATATTGTAAAAAGTTATTCTCCAAGCCTAAATCTGAAAAAGTAAAACGCGAGTTGTTTAATTTACATTTTCTTTTGTTAGACGTTTTTAAATTTCTCGACAAAATTATATAAATACATATTGAACATTTAACTATATCATTTTCATTAATATGATATCGCACTATGCACAAAATGCTTAATGATTTATATCTTATTATTCGTTGAAAAAATTTAATCGATATTTTAAATTATCAAAACTTAACCGATACTTGAGAGATTGTGGATAGATTGTGGATATTAGCAGATATTATTAAAGTTAATTAAAGTAATTAGTAAAAGTAGAATCTCTTTTTTAAAAATTAGCTCGAAATATTTATACAGTTCATTTTTCTTTTTTTTTCATTTCGATATAATAAGCGCAATAATAAATTTTAGTGCGATGCAACAACAGCCAGCGATGATTATTTAAAGGCGCGACAATCCTTAAAACTTCGTATCGAGAATTTAGTGAAATTCGTGGAGGACGAATCGCGATCAATCACGAGCAATGTGGAAAGTAGTTTGAAGAGCAGCAATGCCGCTCATGCGATTCAAATGGAAAAGCTATTCAGGGCAACTTCGGGAAAACTCGACGAACTGATCAGATTGGACGTCTCGTATGGCAGCTGGATGCGAAAGGAGATATTGCTACTCAACGACGAGATAAAACGATCTTTCGACGCTCTGGAACGAGCGATCGTTGCAAATACGAAAAACATAACATACAAGCTGAAGAATCTGCGAAGTGATGTGACTAGATGTGTCGAATGTGCACAGAGGAAATTGATCGCGTGTCGTAAGCACAATGTTCCTTCTAATCTCACGGAATGCGCAAAGAAACAGTTGGATCAAGCGACAAAGATGTTCGATCAAACGAACGAGGAAGTACGTCTCAAGCTCAAAGAAATCACAAAACTTCAAGAGACAGTCATGAAGGCACACGAAATGACGGCACAGGAAGCGATCGAAATGAACCATAAGAAAGTGAGCGAATTGATAAAATATCTGGAGAGATGCATCCTTCAGCTGAAAAAATCGAGCAAGTAGCGAAAACGATATGGGCAATAAAAAAACTCGTAAATGCGCTGTTGAAGAAACTCCAGAAATATAATCGTGAGAATTGAAAGATGTAAGAGAAAAAAATAGCAAAGGATTTTAAGATTGAAATAAGTCAAAAATTTTTCCCTCAGTCTCATGTTTATCTCTACGTTAAAAATAGATATGTAAGAGTTGCATGTAACAGCCAACTGTCTTATTCATCTTCGTATGCCTTCAAATAGTATTTTATTTGAAGTATTCTACAGAGGTTTATACGATCAAGATTTATGAGTTTAAGAGTGTTTAATGATGTAATAAATTTATTAAAATTAGGATCCCGAATTCCCATAAAGATGCGAAACTTTTACTGGTTCTTGATCAAAATAGAACGAATATAGTGTAATAATGCACATATTTTTCTGCGATTGATGTATAATAAGCTTTCTTGCGTTGTAGGAAATCTTTTCGCATTAGTATATTTTCTTTTATGAAGTTTACAAAATATATATTTGTTTACACGATGTTATTTTAGAAAGATTTACATAAAACTCTCACCGTCATTCGTGAATGATTGCGCCGCAACCACTCTAACTGGGCTCGGTGGAACGCTGAAGGTGGCATTTGTCAGAAAAGCACGTCTGACCTTGTTCCATTTCGAATCTTGTCGCTGTATCTTTGGCGCATGCGTTACCGCTTCCTCGATCGTCGAATGCTGGAACCCAACGTTATTGTATATGCACGAAGCGAAGTTTGTGCGATGTAATCATTTGGCAAGAGAAAGCATCTTTGAGGAATTTAGAATTCCCTGTTTTATTTACAGTGCATTCTTCGTAGATAAAATACGGCGTGTCTCATTCAAGTTTCGCGATGAATCTTAAAAGACATTAAAGATAAAAAAAGAAACTTGACTTTAATTTTAATGAACATTGACATAAAATTAACTTTCCCCAAACGTGACCTGTCTCATAAAATTAACTTTCCCCAAACGTGATCTGTCTTATATTAAAAAATGATAATAACTAATAATAATAATTTTAAATATATTGTTGTTCGATAGATTCGAATATTAGAGAGACATGCCACATGCCACTTGTCCAACCTGTCGTTTAAATTCCCTCGGACTCGATGCATCCTGGCGCATCTTGGGATGTTGCGGTGAACTTCCACCGGAATCTTGCGTGCTCGAGGGAAGAGGAGATATCGATTCCGGAGAGGATAAGCTCCTGATTTCCTCCTCGTTCGATGGTATCGTGATCGTCAGTGTCGGCGTCGGTCTCTTCGACGATATTTCCGGATCTTTTCCATTCACAGCGTGCATCGTTGCATCCGCATCCGATATAATACGAATCAGCGGTTTATTGCGATTTACCTATTATTAAGAATAAGCGAGAGAATTTATTTTATATAATAATAAGCGAAATTCACAATTATTATAATAATAAATAATTATTGTTTTAAATGCATGTAATAATATATGCTAAAAGAAAGAAATTTTCATGACATGAAAGGAGAGGGAATAGAATATATTATATTATAACGCACACATTTTCTTTTAATTATATTAGAATGATTTTTTGTTCTCGTTTAAAGAGACTGAAATAATTAATAATAACGAGACAACTCGGTATCGCAATTTTAAACGATAAAAAAAAAACCCAAAAAGACTCGTGTTTCAGAATGGGACAACGTCCGTTAATGGATACGTTCGCGATGCGTTGATCAAAGAAATTCAACGGGCGCGGCCGTACGTGGCACGCACGCGTTGCCGTGGATATTTTTAAGTCGGCACTTGTATATACGTATGTTGCGAGAAAGGAATTTCGCGGAGGGTTCTTATCGATGCTGCTCTTATAACGTGAACCGCCGCAGCAAAATTGATTGAAAACGTAGAATAAAGTCTATACATTTTTTTTACGGAGAAAATATGTTTAAATCACCCAAGCTCGCTTTCCCGCCTCCCGCTATAAAACAGATGTTACCTCATTCGGAGATTCTATGGAACAGACACTCTCTGTTATGGGAGTGTCGCGGTCAAATGATCGAGCGGGTCGATCTGGATCATCCTTCTTTTTATCATCTTTCACTAGTGGCAAATGTCGGTCCGGAGAGTTTATAATATTTTTGCGCGAATCTAGAAAAATATGTAATAATCGAAGTGTACCTCTTTGTTACAGACACATGAGTAATCATATTTTATATGAAAAAGAGTATATGTATTATTACAATATATCAAATTTTAATTCATTTAATTATTCACAGCAGATTCAAACAGATTCATATTCATAAAATCAGAAAAATTAAGATTTACCCAAAATTATTAATTTCACAATCCTAGAGTTCAATTTGCAATTATCTTAAATTCTGATTAAACTGCGTAATTTATTTTGCATTAAAATTTGGATCTTGAGGAAAATTTTCATTAAATTAATAAATGTAAAATATGCAATAGGAGGTATTATAAAAATGAAGAAATATTTTCTCACCATCAAACACCTCCTCGTTGGACGACGATGCAGATGATACTCTACCGATCGGCGTGGACGGGCCGGAGACTTCGCTGGTACAGGGTGAGAGCGACGGTCCGGTGCTCCAGTTTCCGGTAGTGATCGCATCCGGGATCCTCAGATACTTCGTCGTCGGTGTGGACAATGCTGTTGCCGACGTGCTCGATTCCGCGATATCCGCGAGATCATTGGTGCACGCTCGCTCCCATTTGAAGGCCGCCTTCACTCTGGTCCATTTGCTTATTTTCGGGCCGCTGTTTCGACCCGCGTTTCGACCGGCATTTCTCGCGAATATATCTCGTTTATCCGCCGTCTCGGCCACCCGTTCGATCAGGTTCGAGGCGAGATTCTGCTCGGCCAGCGATCGGCTTCGTTGCCTCGAGGGCGATCGCACGTTCAAACGCTCGCCTCGTTTCGGCGTCAACGCGGCATCCCGACAATTCGACAGCATCGCATCCAACAGCGACTCTGCGAAACCGGTGTCTTCGTCGGTGAAATCGCGGAGCAGCTCCTCCTCGTCGTTCGCCAATGCAACTTCCAGTCGCCGATCGGCGTTTCTCTGCACCTTGACGCGCTCCAGACCTCGCACGCGCCGGAAGAACTTGGAGCTGCGATCGCGCAGCTCCAGGATCTGTTCCGTCAGCGCGCACAGGCGGTCCAGGTGCTCGAATGCCTCCTCGGCGTAGGGGACCCCTTCGCCACCCATAGCCGAGGTCGTCGAATTCGGCGTGGTATCGTAGTCGAACGAGTGGCCCTCGAACGGAGACGCGCCGAGCTCGCTGAGATAAGTCGCGAGATCCTCTTCTTCCTCCTCGGGACCGCGAGACGTGCGATCCCGCGCGATCGGCAGACACTGCGGATCCGGGGGCGGGGTCGGAAGTCGAGCATCCTCGGGCTTGTCCTTGATCTTGGCAGCTCCTCTTTGATCTCGTGGTCGGCTCGGCTTGTCAAGCTTCCTCTCGATTTCGAGAGCGCCGGATTCCTCGGTCGATCGAGCATTGTCTTCCGCCATTGGATATTCTGGATGAAAAGATATGAGATTTAGATACTTGCACCTGATGGAACGTAAGAGCTAATTTTCTCTCAACGCATGACAATTATGGATATTTAATGACGCTGCCATCTTCAACGTGCATTTGAAAAAGTGTTGAAGAAACACTATAATACGGTTGGGATATTTATAAAAAATTCGTATAATTTGACTTGCACCAGGTTTTCTATAATTTTATATTTTCCTTAAGTTTTCCTATTTTTATATATTTATTGTTGAAACAAGATAAAAAGGAAACTGTAAAAGAAATTCTTATATTGAAATTTGTTTATCTTGTTAAATATGATCAAAGACTTTTTTCATCGAATCATGTATTCAATCATGTATCATTGTTTTTGAATAAGAGAAAAGTATTTTACACTGCATATTCTTCTTGCTACTAGTGCTGTTTTCGTTTACTTCAGTTTACTCGAAGAGTAATCTGGAGATCTGTGTTTGATGATAATAATGGCTCCTTGTCAGATTTGTTTGTAGATGCTTCGGTAGATGCAAATGCAATCTAATTGATGATGCGTGCAAAGTGTTGCTTCGTTTCATCAACATTCGATCGTATAAATATTATGGAAAGGAATGCGCGTTTCAAATGCGTTTCTCTGATGCACTTCTTGCTGCAAGAACCAGAATAGAGCGTACAAAGGAATTTTAATCCTCCGCTTCATATATATTTGCGAGACAATAAAAATTTTCCATAATTGCTTTTATTAGTTTTTATTGATGCTCCATTACTTTTTTCATTATTTATTCATTCATTCGTATTCATTTTCAGATCACTATCGTAAGATTTGCTGCATTAAATCAGCTGTTTAAGTGCTCATTCATAAAAATCAGAACTTTCTTCGCTTTAGAAGAACACAATTCCTTTGTTATGCATCCACTCAACTTTCTTTCATCTCGTTTTATTCAGATATGAATGAGAAAATGACGTATCTCAATTATTTCCCTTTTAACTTTCACTAAATAAGAATTTATTCAGTCACAGATTATATCTTTCTTTCAATGCAAGTTTAAAATCTACTACTTTTCACCACATTCATTCACGTGCATCAACGTTACTAGAAGAAATCTTTCTTTCGACAGAACACTTCTCCAAGTCGATCACAATTATATATTCACGAAAACGACTTTAATTTATTTTTACATTTGATCGCCGTTTGAGATCGCAGTACAAGAATTTTTCTCCTCGTTATGATCTCGATCGATCTGTCTTCACGAAATTTGGCTCTCGAATGAAGGCGACGTGGATCAGTTCGTGTGACCTCGCGAGGTCGCTTCTTCGCGACGAAAACGAGAAAAGCTCGTCGGGCGCCGCGCGTTTCGAGACTTCGGCGATAGTGCGCGATTATTTTCGGTGACGAGCATTCGCCGTTAGTGTCCACGTGTATGTGTGCATGAATATAGAGAGTATACGTACGAGATGCAGAGGCGCGTCGCGACGCCGTCGAGGCGAGAGTCGGGCATGCGCGACTGTTAGCTCGTCCGCGTCGAGCTTTCTTCCTGTTCCCGTCTCGAAAATAGACGGAAAGGCGGCGGGAAGACGCGTCCGTTCGGCCCTTATTTATAAGCGTCGCGGAATGACGCTACCGATCATAAAGCCTCGTCATGCTACTTTTTACGATATTTCGATGCAGAAATCTTGCAATCGCAGAAGAATAAATCTTAGAACTTATCACAAAAGTGATAGGATGCTAAATTTTTTTCCATCTGCACACAATACGACTGAGTATTAAATTAACGATCTTTAGGAAAAGAAAATGCGCGCTTAAAATAAAATTTTATTCGTGGAAAATACAATCGCGTGGAAATAAATCGTCAGATACGTCTCCGGAAGTTTGATCTACTCCTTCATTGGTAATCTGGTTAAATCTGGCACTGGTAGCATTATCGCGGCCGCACCTATAAAATATTTAACATTTAGCGATGATTAATCAAACAAATATAATAATTGTTTTTTTTTTCGTACTTATTAAGATAACAGATGCGACGATTATACTTAGCAGGCAAGTTGTCTTTAAAAAGTGTTGCGTCGCGAAGAGCACCAAATGTGGAAGTACTCTCGTCAAACCCATCATCGTGCCTCTGAAATACCAACGTCGGAAACTACAAGTTTACGTTGCGTTCGCAAATACTTGATTTACGAAAATGCGTCTGATGATCTAAGATTAGCCGGATGTTGGCTGCTCCGTTTTATACGATCTACCTCAGAGCGGTGGGATAATTCTCCAGCAGCAAAACGCACGTCGTTGTGCGTCCGATAGCGTAAGTGGCCAGGAAAATCGACGACAGAATTACAGGAATTATGTGGTACAGCCGGAAAATGAGTATGAGCGATATCAGGCTACCCACCAGTCCCGAAGATACTATAAAAATAATCAAAATCCTTTTATAAATACAGCAGCATTAATTTTTAAAAAGTTTAGAATCATAAATTAAATTTAATATCCTAGAAAATGTGTAAAGAGTTAAAAAAATGTTTGAAATCAAGGATGTAGAGTTTTCTTTTTAAAACACTTAACGATTTCGTAATGAATGAGGAGATGGTACGGTTGTGCTGAGGTACTCACTTAAATACGGTTTTCTGCCAATGGCATCAATTCCAATAACGAGCAACATTTCTCCCAACATGTAGCCTAGTGATACTAGCAACAGCAGCCCGAAACGAGTCTCGTTCACTTCGTCGCAGCTTCGCAAAAAACCTAATGCCACGTTCTGGACATGGACGTTACACGTATCATTTCCACTCACGACATGGTCCCTTTCCATTTCCTGGAGCACGTGCGTATTCCACAGAGCGAGCCAAGCGAATCTTAAATATCGTCCTCGTGATTCTCCTCGCAATCACGCGAGAACAATAGTTGGAATGATATGAAATGTATTGGAAGGCTTACGGAGGAAAACTTCCTTTATTACCCGGGAAAATGTAGAAGACACGCTAACATCCCGCACAATGTCACGCACTTATACGGAGGCTTGTGTATTCTGTAAATGTGTTCCCAGGTTTTCGTAAAATACTGTGAAATACTGTCCTCTTCGGCTTCGTCGTCTGGACGCACACAACCTTCCAGGTCCCTGATCTAAATTTAAAATTAGCTATAAAATTTAAATTAAAATTTTAAATTAGCTGTAAATATTATTTTTCCAAGACTACTGGCCGGTATTCATAATCCGTTCTTGTATTTAAGATCATCTTAAGTAAGATTTGAAAATGTTATACGGCCAATTCCATTGGCTGAGCAGAGTCTTAAGACGACTTAAGATCAGACTTAAGGCAATCTTAAATATAAGAACAGACTATGAATACCGGCCTATGATGATTAATTTCGGATCATCAAGTTTTACCTCATATTTGCAATCCATGCGTTCTTTAAATATCTTTTCACGCGAAGCGAAACATATATTTTTTTCAAACATATTTTCGAAATAAAACATACTTTCTAATATTTTTTATTAAGATTCTTTCAGAATAGCATAGGTAGCAAATGAAGATTTGAACGGGCAAGGAAAGAACAAGATTTCCTCGACGGAGTCGCGTTGGATCACCGTACCGGATAGGTATCGGCGTGTTTCGAATTATTGATGGCGTACATCTGTCGGAGCACCCCGAGCGCTTGTATCGGGCGTCGACGGTATAGCAAGTGTCGAGGACTCAGCGGTAGGAGACTCGAGGCGCAAGCGATCAGCAGGCTCGGCATACCGCAGAGAGCGGCGAGGACTCGCCAGGAACTCGTTCGGAATTGCTTGCTTAGCATGCGTATAACGGATGGCATCAAGGACCAAGAGATGCCTTCTCAGATTGTTCATCAAATAAATATAAATATCAGTTTTTGTAAAAGAAAATCAAAAATTTATTATGTATTTTTTTTAGCGTCGATTTTTATCAAGTTTTTGCACACACATTAGATTAAAATCTGCGAACTCTAATTGAAAATTAGAAACATAGATCAATTGATTGTTTTTATATTAATTGGCTTATACGTGAAATCTCTGTTTTAAATTAAATGTAAAACTATTTGCGATTTTATTTTTTAAGTACTTTTAAAATTGCAAAATAAAATAAGAGTCATTTTTATAAAGGCATTAAAGAAAAATATGAAAAGTATATTATGAATCTGACATTTTTTAAATTTTGATTAAAAAATTAAAGAATTTTTTTATATTAAAAAATTCAAAATATTTAATAAAAAATGAAGGATTTTCTTTTATAAGTTCAGACACAAAATATATATACAAATATTCATTACCTAAAGCTGATAGGTAGCCGACTACCCAGAACATATCGATTATGGCTAAGCAAGTTCCTCTCTTTCTCATTGGTAGGCATTCGATCAAGTAGACTCTGAGGACGATATTGTTACCAGCAACTCTATGAACATGTTGAATGAACATGACGTAATTATTACTACCCACACGTAAATCAAATAAATGCGCAGTTTCAATGTCATGTAACAATGAACATGTAATTTATATCTTTGCACATTGTCTTCGTAGTATCTTCGCTTTTTCAAGTATTAGTATCTTCGCTTTTCAACATAATAATTGCAAAAAAAAAGAAGCAATACCTTTTCTTAATAAAATATTTAAGAATTATTTCTTCTAAAGAATAAAAGATGATAAATATGAAACAATATTAGGTGTAATAAAAAGTAGAAAAAAAAATATTCCATAAATGCTTCGCAATTTTATCGATCTCGTATTTTATCAGATTATATCGATCGTTTTATATAGGATAGAAACTTACGCTAGTCCCAACACGAATACTGATAAGTATATGAAAAAATTAGTTTGCGCGAAAGACAGGGCAGTCGAGGCGCAAAACACGATGCCCATGGTAATTGAAATTGATTTTTTACGACCGACAGTATCCGATATAGATCCAAACAAGAAAGCACCTACTGCCATACCTACGCAATAAGTAAACGCTAGATTAAATTACTACAACAAATTAATATATGCTTTAATGTATATTTGTGAATATCTTTGAAATAAATTCTGCATAGATATATCTCTTACATTTTGTAAATTGTAAATACATAAGAATATAAAATTTAACACAACAATTTAATTTAATTGATAATTTGATGTTTAATGTTTTAATATTTTATGCTAGAAATGTATACCGAAACTAGAGATAGCTACGGGCATGACGGCTTGATCTCTATTAAGCTTTAGATCACACTCTATTAACGGTGCTATGATCGGCACAGTCAGAGAAGTGTTTGCTTCTGCGAATGATACTAAGCCGCATAACGCAACGACAAAGTAATGCCAAACACCCCATCCTATATATTAAAATTATTAAATTGCATAATTCTGTCTACATGTATTTGTATAAATTAAAAAAACGTTGCCTCTAAGATTATATGAAATTAATATTGACATTAATTATGTCATATTAATGTAACAAGATATATTTATTATGATAATAGTGAGATAATTCTAATGTTTTATGTATGTATATATATATATATATATATATATATATATATATATATTTTTTTTTTTTTTTTTTTATTCTATTTCATTCCTTACCTGTTTCAGCTATTGCAGTTTCGCAGTCGTCACTCATATCACGTGGAAAAATAGTGATAATTTTATCACAAATGAGCAGATAATTTACCGGAAAATAGGTTATTAATATTAAAAACAAAAAATGTCTTGCAATTTGCTTGCTCAAGAAACATTCACAAGAATATGTATATGTATAAGTAAAAAAAAAAAAAAAATAATCGCGAACAATTAATGTTCGGAAATAAATTTATGCATTGCCATCCGCGTTTTGTAGACTCTTATTGCTCGTTTCTTAATGATCATATTGTTAAATACATAGAGCCGTATTATTTACCAATTTATTTATTCACAAGAATCTTCAAACTAAAATATTAATTATAATAAAGATAGAAAAAAAAGAAATAATGATAATTATAACTAACACATTAAAAATAAGATAGCATTTCTGATGTGAACTCTGGACAAATTCAAGATCGTTTTGATCATTCGACATATGAAATTTTTGTTAAGCTCATTGTCAAATGTTTTCTAATTGCATCAATATTCATTATCACAGTTGTATCGCTGTGCATCAATATTCATTATCACAGTTGTATCGCTGTGCATTCTTGCACATTCATCAGATAATGATGAGTAATACTATGTGAAATGGTGAAATATTTTTAAAACATGTAGAAAATAAACCCATTTATTAAACTAAGAATGAATATTTTTAATGTGTGCTATTTTGATAATGTATGCTTAGCTATGCTAAGTAAAAACGGAAATGTAGACGCGTCAAATTACAAAATTACGCGATGAAAGTGTATAAAACGCACACACATAAGTATATTTAACAAGATGTATGAAGAAATATTGTGATATTTTATTGTCCATTGATATTTTATTGATCCTTGAAGTATTCCTTTGAGCCAACAACATCGGGCTTCATGGCTTTCTTGCCGGGCTTCCAACCAGCTGGGCATACCTCGCCATGCTTATCAGTGTATTGGAACGCTTGAACCAACCGTAGAGTTTCGTCCACGGATCTAAAATTAAAAAACGCGATAAGATTATTGCTAGTATCAAATTCGGTACAAAGATTTATTCAATCATCAAAAATCGCGGTACTATTAAATAAATTAGTTTAATTCTTTTTAACACATTAAATGAAAATACAAAACTTGCTTGAATTCTAAATTTTTCTTGAGAGCCTATATTATGCAATATTATTGCGACACAAGTAAACTTTTGTAGATTTATTAATGTTAATAATTGAGCAAGAGCTTTACCTTCCGACAGGCAAATCGTTGATGGTGACTTGACGCAAATTCTGCTTATCATCGATGATGAAAAGGCCACGGAAGGGAATTCCCGTATCTTCGTCAAGTACACCGTAATCGCGAGCAATTTTGCTACTCTTGTCCGCCAACAGAGGGATGTTCATTTCACCGAGACCACCCTGTTTGCGGGGTGTATTCACCCACGCGAGATGACTGAAGTGAGAATCGGTGGATGCGGCGATCACCTCACAGTTGATATCATTGAACTCTTTCACGCGGTCGGAGAAAGCAATGATCTCAGTCGGACATACGAAAGTGCTGCGATCAAATGATATCGTCAATTATAGCTCACGATAGTCGATTTGATTCTGTGTAACTATCTCTTATCTATACGAAATCGTTAAGATTAGTTAGTGTGCTTTTAAAATCTTATTTCTTGCAATTTTTTTTAGAATTCACATACATTGAATGATGCTTTATTTATTAAAAATCTCTGTATCAATTAGTTGGAATAAATATATAGCATATTCATTTTTTTAATATTTATGATAGCTATAATAGAAGCAGTTTTAAAATAAATATTTGTATTTATAAATGTAAATCTTTCACAATGCAAAATGCATTTCTTTGTTTTAAAAATGTTTCAGCTAAAAATTAAATGTATGTACTTAGTTTAAATAATTAACACATTAAGCACGTAATACAATAAAACTTCTTGTGTAGCAGTCAAGAATTATATATAATTCTCTTATATACATACAAAAGTACAATCGTAATGTATAATACTTACAAGTCCAACGGGTAGAAAAAGAGCACTACATATTTGCCCTTGTAGTCGGAAAGCTTAATATCCTTGAATTGTCCATTTACAACGGCGGTACTGGAGAAAAAAGGCGCTGGTTTCTGTATCTGAGGCATGGTTGCTGCTGTTTATTTTGCTACAATTAAAAAAAATACAGATAAATTTTACATTTTACATATACGAATTTTATGATATATATAATATTCAATTATAATAAATCTATATATTTTCAAAAATCATTAATTATTAGAAAAATTAAATTATTAAATAAATTATTAAATACATTAAATAAATAATAAAATAAAGTAAATTATTAAATAAAATAATCTAAGTTTCATGAATCTGTATATCTACATATGTTTTTCATGCGATAATATAAATGCGATGAGATATTGGAGCTACGAAATTTGAATATGAATAACATCTTTGTAGTCTTTGTAGTTTCTGTGAAGCAATCTTGAACATGGAATATTTAATTTTTGTAGCATAAGTTTTCCTGCGAAAACTATAGTGGAAATACGTTCTCCCTCTGTCAATAAAAAATATAAATTGACAGTTCATAATCAGCAGTGTTAAATATATCAGTATTTAGCACGAGTAGGTTTGCACACAATAATAAGCATTCGACCAAGAATCGCCTAAACATTTATTCAGCGATAACTTATGTGCATGTATTTTCGCGCGTATTTGATGTATATTGTATTTGATGTGTTCGTCACACATATATTATAGTCTACAGCATACAATATGTCCTCCGTTATCTTGATGACGAATCAATAAATGTGAAATATCAATCATGACATTGGACGAATGGAACATACATAATAATTCGAGCGAAAAAATTTAGTGACGCACGAAAATATCAGAGAGAATGATGTATTTGTGAATATTTGAAGTGAATAAAATGTTATCGAATTTACGAAAACTAATTTCAATGAAGAGTCATATCATCTAAAGTGGACTTTAGGAATTGCAAACATACTTTACTTTAATACTCGTATTTCACCTATCAATATACTCACAATCAACGATATATTTTTAGCAAATTTAATGCGCTAATTTTAATTAAAATTTACGTTCTATTTTGCATAATTAGTATTAAAAATAAATAGAGCTTGGTAATTTAAATTTCGAGAATACTTAAATAATTTAAATTTTATTAATAATTGAATTGAAAATTGAATTTGATTTCTCTCACAAAAGAATCAGAATGAATAAAGAGAAGAAAGAAAATCCAGAATGCCAGGTGGGGCTTCAGATTATGCAACGGTCAAAAGAACTATAAAGATCAAAATGTGTTTGAAATGAAAAAAGATGTTGAAAGAAAAGGGGAGCGCTAGATACAAAGGAATCCTCTATGAGGAAAACTTTTGCCCGTATCGAGAAGTCGCATAGAGGTAATTTTGCAAACGACCTTGCGTTTAAACGCAACACCGTTTCCTTTGTTAAAGACGGCTCTATTCCAAGCTCGTAATAGTGGCATTTAGTGTGAAATAAGTGCTGTCCCATTCCTCCTTTTTTACTTTAAAAAAGAAATAATGACGTTTAACTTTTATCAATTCTTAAAGGCCACATATTTTTTTAACAATAGAATATTCCGAAAGCCACAATCAATAAAAATGTTAATTTATTTTTTAATTTTTGTTATACATGACCACTTGTTATAATGTCAAGAAATATATGTAAATATTTGTAAAGAATTTTTTCAAGACTTTGAGCAGTTCAAACTGCGACAAGACATTATGACTTATACGTGACAAGAAAATGAGAACAAAATTGCGAAACTTACAAAGATTAATATTTTGGTAAACATTATGTAACTAATAACGTATTTAATTTAACGAAATAGATGATTTTGAATTCTGTATATGTTTACGACAGATAATTTATGTCCCTGTCAGATTATAAATCAATCAAACAACGAATATTTTCAAAGACTATCTGTGTGTGCATCCACCAGAGATACAATGTGGTTAATTTGCTCGTAATTTTTGCTCGTAACTCAAGCTCGAAGACTGATATTGCTTGCATAAATACATACGCGATGTGTGTAAATGACTAATAACTTACAGTGTGTTAAACGAGCCATCACATTACGTTGATTCGCGCAATGATAATTGAACGCGAAATTACATTTCGAAAAAGTTTGGTGCATAATAATTTCTGGATCAATTCTATGTATCTCATTTTTTGTAATTATTTCGTATAAATATATTTAATAGAAAAAAAATATTAATATAATAATAATTATATTAATACAAATTTTCAGAAAGAGATTTCCTCGAAAAAAGAAAGATTTATTTACATATGTAACGATTGGATTAAATAAAATATATCTGTGCTAAATGTTAAACAGAAAAGTTATGCTATATATAATATTGCTAATTTCCTTCCAGCCTTCATTTCAAATATTTTATAAAATATGTATAAAGTGCAATACATATTACGTATAAATTTATTTATGTATTTTTTCTGACATCTATTTCGTCGCAGAAAGAATTGCTATTTCTGTTATTATTTCCGTATTATTATGTGCAAAGATGTGATCTTACGCAACGATTTCTTAAACTCGATTAATATAAAGCGCACGACTAAAGATTCGTTACATTCATCGAATATAATACGCGATGCACGTTCTCGAATTCTCTGCTTCTCTCTCTCTTTCTCTCTCTCTTTCTATCTATCTTTCGCGTCGACCTCCATTCTTGCGAAATAGGGCAAAGGGAATCGTGAAATTGCGTTGTTCGCGAAAGTTCGCGAAAACGAAACTTCCGACTTGTGAAATTCGTCTCTACGATCCTTTGTACGTTGCTACGTACAAAGGATCGTCGAGAGCGTCATCTGATAAAGGTTGCGCCGCCAGTTTCGGATATTTCGTCGTGGCAAAAAAAATGTTGTGTATCTAGAGCAGAGCGATCTTCCCGGCGCGCCATTTATTTATGAGAGTGCAAATATAATCGCGAGACCGCAAATTATATATACTGGAAAGAGCAGCGGACGTTTGGGAAACGGGCGAATTGGAATTACCTCTGTTAACTTCCTCGGAAGATCGTGGTTCACGGTGGGCGAGAGACACAATGACTGGGAAAGCAATGGGAAGCAGCCGGCGACCGGTTTTCGTGGCGAAATCCCCTTTTAATATCGACCGCTACATATATACTAGTAGACGAAGTCGAGCGGCATCGAGACCGTCGCGACATCTGTCAGCTGATTGTCAATTAGCGTTACGTCAATCTAGAGGTTGGTCTCTAGGAAATTTTGACAACGATCATTTCTTGTGTTGGTAGAAATTTAAGAATGATAAAAACCCTAGCTTCCTCGAAGCTAGAGAAATATGTTTTTTAAAGGGTGGCCATTCTGATGTTTATCAGGCGAACGGGCGGACGAAGTATTTTTTGATATATCTGCGCGAATAATTCGAAACTTTTACTTTGCATTTAATCAAGTACACTGGATTGCACGTATCAGGTTTATTACAATTTATTTATTCTATCATCCGTCAAAATCTCATGACATTTTAAAATTAAATATTATATTTATTTGTTTCAGGAACGAAAGTTAACCTGTCGACAAACGGATGTGATGATTCGGAATCATAATTATTCGAAAAGTTGTCACTAGAAGAAAACAGGTAAATTTGAATCACTGAGAATTTATTTTATTTCAGATAAAACGTATTTAAATTGTTATACTGTTCAAATACATGTATATATAACATAAACACTTGTCAATATATATCGTAAATATACATTGATAAATGTTTTATGTTAAATTGTCAAAATATCTTGTCTTTTTTCCGCGTTTTTATTAATATATTTCGATAAGGTACATTATAATTATTACTTTACACAAAAAAAATAAACTATCAGTAAATAAATTAATAGATGCGAGTCTTGGGGATTAGGAATGAATAAACACGTCGTTTGTCATAAACCATGTGTCGTACGTGCTAATTATTTCTGCGTTATTTATCTTTAATAACAACAATTTGTATAAATAATACATCTTGCGTATGCCGCAACATCGAAGGGACGCTTATAGCGAACGCGTTTCTATCCGCGATTTGCGGGCAATAATAATACAATTTTGATATACATAAATAATACGCGGAAGTATCCGTATGCAAGTGTATGTATGTGTGCGCGTGTACGTGTACGTGTGTGTGTGTATGCGGTATATCCTTATCTGTACGAATATTATACTTTTTGGCACTTACTAATTAATCGAAACCTGTATGGGCCACCTTAAGCATTAGACAAATGGGGTGATCTCGTCGAAACGGGAGGTCCCGGAATCCCCCTTTTCCCCTCCCTCATTTTCAATTTTTTTTTCTTTTTTACGAACTCCGCTTATATTTGAGATGACTCTAGGTAAACGATCTTTTTCAGAATGTCCGGGATAGTTCAGTACGTGGTGGTGCGGGGAGATCTTTCAAGGACGATGAAGTGGCCATTGGGCGCCGTCGTCGCCCAGGCGTGTCACGCATGCACCGCCGTTATACATCTCTTTTACGATGACGCCCACACGCAGACGTACCTCGCCGATTTAGACAATATGCACAAGGTCGTCCTCGAAGTAAGTATGAACATTCAGCGAACTCCGGCCGTTAATCGAGATCCGTTCAATACGACGCGTTATATAATGCATGCAAGGAAATTATTCTAAATCATCATCATTTAATCGCTCGATTAAAGTAGTTTCTTGATCGTTATGAGATGCTAACTCGCGCATTTAAATACGTCGAAATAAATCACTCTTCGAAAATGATTAAACATTAATCATTGTAATAAATAGGCCGCTGATGAAGCCGATCTGGAGAGGCTGTGTTCGAAATTGAAGGAGAACGACATTCAACACAAGCTGTGGATAGAACAGCCCGAGAACATCGCGACGTGTTTGGTGACGAAACCCTACCCCAAGGATGAGGTGCAATCGTATTTCAAGAGGTACAAACTGCTTAAATTGTGACAGCGAAATGGTACATAATAAACGCCGCTACGATAAAGAATGTCTCAGGTTACTTTCCACGTTACATCGAATCGAAGGTAATCCTCTCAGAACTATTTTTGAAACAATTATCTTATTTGTTATCTGTCATCTAAAGAAAAGATCCTGGAAAACTTTGAAGTATAATCAAACACGTTAGATTAGATTAAATTGTGTAACTATAAAGAAGATATTTCTAACGGAAAAATCTGCCAATTCTGAGAAATTTAATAACGCTTGTATAAACTAAATACACATTTCTTCAAAAGGAAACGCGAATAATGTTTGTATTTCACGCTGTTTGAACGGAAGATCAATGTGTCGAAGGTAAATCGGCACACGTCTGTCTGACCGTCGATATTGCAACAGGGTATACTTCGGCCCTCTTTTTTCTTCGTTTTTTTTTCTTTTTCTTTTTTACGAACGACATCGTTTTGACGCACGGAAAATATTTGCGTGTCGGGAATGGACTACAAACGCTCGAAAGAGAGAGATAAAAGGAAAGAACAGAGCTCGACACGGCAGACTGATATTTCTGACATTGAGAAAGATATATCTACACTTTATCTACTGATTTATTTCACGATACCTCGCAAGTATCGCCAAAGTGTATACAATCGTACTTTTCTCTCTTTGCGCAACTAGCGTAGTACGAGTCTATATAATCTAGACGGGAATAACGCGGATTTGGCGCGCCGCTAATCAACTAATCGTATCAAAAAGTGTCTCTCTCTTCGCGAGTTTATGGTTCAGTTACGGCGAAGATCGTTTCTTTTCACAGGTACGGATTAGCGTACGTCTTCTCGCTGAAAATTAGCTATAAGAGGCGACCTGATTAAAAGCGCAAAAATGTTGAAGAACGCATAAATTTTATAAGAGACTCTCAAGGATATCTGTACATATACGATAGGATATATAAGGAGAATAAAAAAACTTTCGAAACATTGCTTCAGGCCGCGACTAGGAGCTAATTCTTCGGCGCATTGCAACTCCTTTATCCTTCTTCGTCAAATCGCTCGCTCAAATCCGCGGTGAATATCCTTCGGCCCGTTGAATTCATTTCGTTCGCATGGAGACGTCGGGTCGGAGGTAAGCGAATGCGTTGCCTCCCGAACCATCGCACCATCATGCTCGACCACGAAATGTCCTTCGCGCACTTCACTTTAATTTTCCGGGATTACCTTTGTCCGCTTACTCCAATATCTCTCCGTACCGGGATCGAATTTATCCCGTCTTCTCGCGCGGGCGAGCGAGCTGCGCACTTGAAACCGGAAGTATCGATCGCGCGGATCGACCATCGTGTGTGTGTGTGACGTTTCTAGACAAATAAACCGTATGAATCCCGACGACGTCAATCCGTACGAACGGGATACGTAGATTCGCAGCAAGCTCTAATTATGTACACGCACTGCGGACGCTAGACACTTGTAAGTACACATATTTACAACACTCGATGGCAAGATGATTATTTTGGTGTATATATATAATATATATATTTCTTTTTTTTTAACGCGGTCGCCGTAACGAGACGGAGGCGGGAACAGGAGGATATACAGAAGTCCTTATGAAAAAAATGCGCTATTGTCCTTGCAACATCACTGCCGCTCGTGCACCTGCTCCTCCTCCTCCTCCTCCTCCTCTTCCAGCCATTGGCGCAGAATGTTGCTCCTTGGCTGCAAAACAAAAGTAAAGGCTTGATTATTGACCATCTCATGAATGAAATTACATTTGCAAGCAAGTCTGGAATCTCGATGCGTCCAATTGATATAAAACAGAAGCTGCATTAGATTAGATGTCATTTCGTGAAATTTCTTTGTGAAATTTCTAGTTGGCTAGTTTAGAGACAAGTCGATACGCGAACGAAAGAAACGGGCAAACGAGTGATGAGTGCAGATGATAAGCGATAAACTTGAAAAATATATATTTTCATGCTTGTATGATATTTTTATTTAATTTTTTTTTCATAGAAAAATCTCTTCTATTGTAATTTTATATCAATATAAAAATAAAAATTGGTATTCCACGAATAAATGTACATGAATTTGTATACTTTAAAATTAGAAATCTGAAACATCATTTTTATTCTAAAGATGAGTGCAAGACTTCATATGTGTGCTAATACAGCAAATAGAATATGCGATATATATTGTATATACATATGTAAAAGGATAGATCTGTATAAAAAGTTCTGACAACTCTATTTGATGAATTCTGCTTGTAAGCATTAAATATGTATAAGGCAATATTTTGTCTCGGAGATTGCAGCCAATATATACGATGCATATCAGAAACGTGCGGTGAATGCAAGCAAGACTCTACATGAGATCGAGCTGTCAATGACACATATCGTGCGTTAGTATTACTACGGGATTCAAAATTACCAGGACCACGTTAGTTTGGGAGAACGGGGTGAGACGAGTGATGAGGGTGGCGGTCGTAGTGATGGTATTGGTGTTGGTGATGGTTGTCGGTAGTGATTAGGGCAGCGCACAAAAACGAGCATTATTGCTCAGCTAGGTTCCCATTCGGGTCCGTGTACTCCTCGTATTCGTCCTCCGGCTCCTCGTAATCCGTCTCCGCGGGTTCAGGACCCTCGATCGCTGGCGTGGACGTGCTCGTAATATCCTGCTAAGCATACACAGGAGAGAATCCAAGCGTACCCCATACAGAATTATCCCTTTTATTTCTCTCGATATTGCGAGTTTAATTATTAGATTATTAGTTTGCATATACGATTGTGTCGTTAGTATCCCCTAGTAACTAATAAAATAGTAACTAATACAACACGTGCTAACAATTTCACAAAATTCACATAGAAAGTCTATTAATTTTAATACGCATCCACAAAAGCTTTCTAAAACATAATTGATGATTATCTGTATTAATGAAAATTTATGTGAAAACACAGTTGTCATTGTTATCAAACTATATTTTATAACCCATTGAGACAAGCTATAGCGATAGTAGAGAAGCTTTTGTACCCACTTTTGTTAATTTCTACTTCAATTAATTCGGGAGATATAAAATTTGTCATTCTCTCGAATTTATCTCGCCCACAAACCTCAAAATAAAGCTATCGGTTACCTTCGGTGGTCTCCAGCCGCAGCCCGGTAAGGGAAGTCCATCCTGTCCCAACGGACATGGCGCGTCCAATCCTGGAACACCCTGATCCCCCTTGTTGCCTTTGTCGCCCTTCCTGCCGCGTTTACCCGGCGGCCCCTGCGCGCACACGCGAAATTCATCATCTATCTGACAGCGCGAAACGCCCGATGCAAATTCGCGACGTGCAAATAAGGCCAGGCACATAATATTGTTGGATTATGCAATTATACTAATACTGGTGAGATCGGTGCACAATACCTCGACGAGTACGAAGTGCGGAGGAGAGCGTGTCGCGGGTCGCCGTATAAATTAGCTGGACTTTAAATTGATAATTAGGCTTTTTCGTCCACCTTGATGGACACCTCGTGTCAAATCGATCGCTCGGGACAAACCGAATCTCTTCTGTCATTGACGTTCATCGATTTCCGACGCGACAGCGCTCTCGTTGGCGCTTCGTTTCTCGAGCACTAATGTCTCCTCTAATATTATTCGCGTCTCTCGTCATCAAGCGCTTTCAGGGAACGGTGGTGGCAGCATATACAAATTCGTATGTACGCGCAAAGTGTGTTAGTCTCGCGAGGAACCGCGTGGAACTTGATAGGAGTAGGCGTGTGTGTACGCGTGTGAGGATGTTCTCCCCGTGTTTCCTACAACGAGAGAGCTTCCTTCGCTACATCACCATGACCTTGCAACACTGCGTGATCTCGCAGTCTCCTCGTCGTAAACGATGACGACGACGATACGGCAGTATCTCCGACGTGCTTGCAGCGATAGTCGTGAATAAAAGATACGCGCGAGGATGCGAAAGGGCTGCTTTGATTTGATCGCTCCGAAAATTTATGCGCGGTTAAAATATGCTCTCATATCAATTCCCCGCGTTTAATCTAAGAGCAAAAATCGGAATCGCTAACGAAATCTAATTAATTTCATTTCTAGGTTGTTAATCCGACATCTTGCTGATTTTACCGTAATAAAGGTAAACCAATCGACTATCGACCTCTCGATCCGGTGTAAGAGCTTCCTCCACTAACTCGCCAGAACGTATGATTATATATCCGTTAGGAAGCGAACTGTGTATCCGACTACTTGCTCTCTCTCTCTCTCTCTCTCTTACGGTCTGTCGGTTATCGTTGGACAAACAATCCCTCGTAAAGCATACGGGACGATCTAATCACGCCCGATCGCTTTCGCATCCCCCCGTGAGAAGGACGGTAGTATATGTATATATAACGTGGATCGGCTCTCTGATACTGATGGCTTTGGAGAAACGTGAATACGTCGAATTAAGTCAATACTCACAGATTCGCCTTTGGCACCTTTCTCTCCCTTCGGTCCCTGGAATTGGTGAACACGGTCACAAAAAAGGAATTTTAAGTTGCTTTGGCCGCGTTAATTTTCTTTTCTTTTTTTTTTACGCGCGCGAGACGGTCGTTCCAGAAAATCTTTTCAATGGAAGGATGCTCGAGAGAGGGTGCCGCGTTGTGACCACGATGTCGCGTGTATGTCGTTTCAGGCGGCGGCTTCACCATCGACTATCGAGTCGTGAAGGGAAGGAGATGGCTATCGATTCACGGGCCAAAACCACGAGCATGGTATTTCGAGTAGATCACTTGGTTATTGCTCTTGCCTCCGATGAGAGATACGAGAAACGTCAATAAACCGAGAATATCCGATGTCAATAAATAGCAGCGATATGAGAGAGAGATAAATAAATCGCTCCATTTTGAACTATAATAGCAATCTTTTGAGCAATTAGGAGATATTGTTAGTTTTATTAGCAAAATTAGGTTTAATTATATTGACAAGACCTTGAAATTATGACTTGAAAGAAGGATGTTAATGAAATATTAATAGCTTTTTTTAGACACATTAATACCTTCTGTCTGCCGTTTATATTAAAATATTCACTGTGATATTAATCACATTATCACAAGGGAATACGCATGCTTTTAATTTAGTTATTTTAGACTTTTCTACCTTTAAAAGGAGGCAAAAAAGAACGAGAATTCTTTTAAAGTTTAAATAAAAAATAACGTGTTCGCGAAATATTGTGCATTCAACGTGAAAGATTGTCCTCCTTCAAATACCTTTCCATGCATTCAAGAATATATACGAATGAGAGAGAGAGAGAGAAAGAGAGAGAGAGAATCATTTATATGCTCTCATATCAATACGCATCGAGCGGTCACATGAGCACTGCTCGAGCATCCTTCCGGACACTCCAGAGAGAAGCACGAGGGAGTTGCGCGTTTCCCCCTCCGTTATAATTCGGTCGTAAATTTTGATCGGACGATCAAGCCCTCTCTATATCGATTATATATATATCGAAGAAATTATGACAATTTTTTACATCGATCTTAAATCCGTCAGCTACATCTAATATTATTTTTTTGACATTTTGCAAAGAACACTATCAATTATTTTACGCCACCGCCGTAAAATGGTGCCGTAAAACAATTGATAATGTTCTTTACAAAATATCAAACATTAGTGTAACATACTATTATACATAACATATTCAATGATGTATAATTAATCATGTAAAAATCTTACCGAAACAAAGATTAAGAAGCACAATTCCCATAAGAAACGGTCAAGATGGTCGAGTACTAAAAATTCAAGCATGCCACAAGGACTTCTCGCGCGAGTACAATTAATCGAGCGCGATACGCGCAAGAAAAAGAAAGCAAAAAAAAAAAAGAATTTGCGAGAATGGATTTCGAACGAAAGAGGGAGAAAGGCGCAAGACGCTGGCTCCATTCTCTTTGAAATCGGACGGAGGGAGTGAAAGGGAGGAGATTCTCTTTTTTGATTATTTTCTTTTTTTCCGAGACAGTCCCCGGGGTAGATCAGGCGGAATGTGTCGTCGTTACCCCGGGCTGGTCAGACCGTGTCAGATTGTGTCGCAGTCGCGCCGGAGGACGAGCGATAATCGAAAGCCAACTGTACCTCCGCGCCGGGAATCCCATCGGTACCCTGGGGACAAACACAGATCGACTCGTTAGCGTGTCTCTCTCTCTCGAGATATAATCGAGTCAGCGGATTGACTTGACGCGTTCCTCAGACATGACTCGATTCCGAGCGGGCGACCTCGGGAATCTCGAGCGATGGAAAATACAGATTGAAAGATCACGATCGACGGATTGCGGTATTGAAATTCAATTGAATCGCGGAAAGACGGAAACCAATTCACGAATTTGCGTTATACGTGCGACTCTAGATCGAAATTTTTATTTGACGCTCATTTATTTTTAGTGAGAAACTCGTCGCTGGAGAAATCGACTTTAGATTTAAAACAAAAAAAATGTTCTACTAAAAAAAAAAAAAAAGAGAGAAAAAAACAAGTATGTGGAGCGTCTTGTACGATCCAATTGTTAAATCGGAAAACTACTTTTTGATGAAGGACAAGATTGCCTCGGGATAATACTCGGGCAAACCCCGGCCGTGCTCGATAAACATGAGCGGCACGGACGATATTGCGCGTTAGACGGATCGGATTCGATGGCGGATAAATACTTGATGAAGCGTAGGACTTACAGGCAATCCCGGATCTCCCCTTTCGCCCTTCGTTCCTGGCTCGCCCTGCGCACCCTGAAAGTACGAAGAAACTTGACGTGCGCTTGACACTTGATTCGCTCTACGCGTACGTCAATAGAATAGTAGAAGAAGAACGCGCGCGCTTCTCTGCTCGATTTAATTTCGGTCCGATCGTATCGCGAACGAGATAGCGAGACTAGAAATAGAGCGCGTTCGAAAAAAGGAGAAGTAATCTATAGTGAAAACGGGGTCATCCCCGTGGATCGCTCACCTTCATGCCGTCTAATCCTGGTGGTCCCTGAAAGGTAGAGGAAACCTCGTCAGATACACGGCAAAGCCCATTGATAATATCGAGCGTGTAATATTGTCGACAGCGATTTAAAACTACATCTTGTAAAGGGGAAGGAGGGCATCTTTATTATTAGAAACGCTCTTTTTTTAACACCGCCCTCGAGTTTCAGGATCCTCGTCGATTCTCGTCGCGCCGATCGATCGGGACGCGCGGAAACGCGAGTCGGACGTGAAAGAATATTTGCACAACGCCACACTGTTTCGCTATATAAATACAGCCGCAGCTCTGTCGATCGGCGTTATACCTCCGCAACTCTTCTCTGTGCGCGGCCAAGTTTCGAGAACTCTCGGATTTTCCAAATTAAGTTATAGTCGCGCTTGATGTGTCGGTACAGATATTGGCCGGGGATATTCGATCGATTTTCATTGTAATGAAATTGCCCTCTATTGGATTCTCTATGCTCTCCTCCCGTTACGACGAATATCCGATCCTCTGTAAATATTTGAAGTGTAATTTGAGTAAATTTCTATCATTTCTAAATAGAGAGAACATTTTCAGCTGCTTAAAAACGATGTGCAAACATTCTTCTTCTTTCGCGAATAAAACTTAGCCTGGCGTGATAATGAATTAGATTCGTTTAGCTTCGCGTTCCGCTCGTCGCTCGTTTCAACTCCAAAACTCATCTTGAACCCGTCGCGAGATTATCTTCACCCTTCCCTTTTCATATTATCAAAATTAATCCCCGAGACCGAGGCATACTGACAATCGAGGGCGGACGGCTTCGTGGAAGGTATAGAGCAGGAGCTTGAGCAAAGTTCAGAGAGAAAAAAAAAACTAGCGTACTTCGTAACGAAGCGTCGACGCTTTTGGCGTCTTTTTATCCTTTTTCCTTTTTAGAATCTTAACTCTAAGGTAGCAAGATTAATCGTCGGCCTGAACGATCCGCCGATTATAAAGCCACCGTCGTGGTCGCAGCAAATTAACACGTGTTAATTTAAGTTTTCTTTATCTTTAAATCTTTCTATTTTCAACTTGCAACTTGCGACAGATGCAAATACAAAGAGATAGAAGAAGATGAGCGGAATTGATTTATCCATTTGGGTCGCAAACAGTCGTAGCACAATGCAAAGAAGCGAGATAATTATGTTATTGGATTATTTTATATATATATATATGTGTATGTGTGTAAAAAAAAGAGAGAAAAAGAGAGAAAGCATTAATTTTTCCGGTAGGCAGTTTTAGAAGCAAAGGACACAGGCACATGCACATTCTGTTTATTAATCGGGACAATGTAAAACAAAACTGATGTTAGAGTCAGTATTCACATACGCATTCAATTAGATCGCCTTAGGTTGATCGGCTTAAGAGAGGAGAGCGCCGCCTTAACAATTAACGCACGCAGACACACGTGTCTGGATTTATTGTTTGTGTGTATTGTATGTGTATATATACTACATATATAATATATGCACACAGAGTGTCGTCTTATGATTACCGAACATCTCCCCTGCTATGGATCCTTCCGCGAACTTTCGTAGTCAACCTTTGCTCGGCGAAAATTTGATCAAATATTTGACAAGTAAAGTTTAAATTACATTTTCATTTAAGTAAAACTCATTTCAAATTATTGGAAAAATTAGTTGTTGCTATTTATACAATTTTAAAGTCAATCGGAGAAAACTCTTTAATGTCAAGAAACTCATTTTTTTAAATTTAAATATTTGTCAGGAAAAAAGGACTCGACTTTAAATTTGTCAATGAATTTGCAAAGAGGCTTGCTTTCAATACATGACAGATGACTGCCTGTGTGTATATACCTGCATACGACACGCAGTTACGTGTACATATGGACTTCTTACTTGTACTTAACATTTACAGACATACACATACAAATAGGTATACGAGGCGTTCCCGAGTTTCGTCGACAAAACTTTCGAAATCTACTCGAATTGCGCTGAAACGAATGGATACTTTTATCCGTAAATACCTCGTTTCATTTAAATTTCGGCGAAAACTATCGAATCGGGGCATTAAGAGAAGACTGTAGATCTCTTCATTGTTTCGTAAGATTGATAATTACAGATGTTTCCGTATCGATTCGTCTTCGATTACTTTATCAATATCGAGAAAAAGAAAAATATTCGTTAAAAGAAAAAATAATATTTAATAAAAAATGGAAAAAAATATATAAGTGGGTTCTAGCGCCAATGAAGAAACTTTTGTCGACAGGCTCGAGACAAACACCCCGTATATTTATATACATATCATCGATTTGTTTACGCATCAAAACGCGACTGCGTTTTCTCCACGCGTTTCTCACGCATACGTTCCTTCGTGTATGTATGTATGTTTCGAGAGTATACGTGTATGAGCGTTTGTATACATATATGATGTGCGTTTGTGTATGCATGTGTGTTTGATGGGACCGTTATACACTTTACACGCATAGGAGAGTCATCGTCATCAAATAGACTTGTCATCGACGCAGCTTCATTCGCACTCTCCCGTCTAGTTATACCTCCTCTTAGATTATATTTATTGTTTTCAAGTGTACATAAGAGTTAGAGGTGTGTTAGCATCGCTCGTAATCCGTAATAGACGATACATCGATTCTGACGGCTCGCCGAATACCGTTATACATCGTTATTCTACACTGTACATTCTCGTGATTATTTCTGCTCCGTATTTTCAAACGTCGAGGATAGACGCGTGAAATGAAATTTGATACAAATACAACAGTATTTTTGTTAGGTGAATTTTTTTTGATGAAAAATTAGTTATTAACAACGCCTGGAAATTCCATTTAAAGAAGATAATTTTCGAATTTATCTTTTTTATACAAGAATTTTAAAAAACCGGAAGGAAGATTTTTTTCCGACTTATATCCGAATCAATTTCTGTGCAATCACTTGTACGACTCGCCTATCCTCCACAAGAAATAGTACCTTTTCTACTGAGATCTGATACTGACATCATCTCTGAAGATGCTTCGCTATCAACATCTCGTTGTACTTCGGATAAAATCCTCCTTATTATAGGCCAAGTAATTACCTCTATCAGTAATCACATCTTACATGTATTTCACGATATCGAGATTCTTCCAGATTTTCTAGCATGTGCAAAATACTTTTGAGAAGCTTGTTAGCATGAGATTTTCGTTTAACCTTATCGCCGAGGAACGCTCGCCAAAATTAACGGCTATCGTAGACGCATCGTATGAACATTTGGTCGACGCGTAATTTATCACCGACAAGAATGTCACGTCGACTTTTCTATTGATTAGAAACGTCACATGTTCGTGTTTCTCACGGCTCTATCAAAGTTCCGCGGGAGAATATCGCAAACTATCGATACTGCATTTTAGCGCACCCGACGGGATAGTGGCGGAAAAGCCGAGAAAGCAGACGGCGTGAGAAAGAAAGAGAGAGACAGAGACGGGTATTTTCTCCTACTTGTTATTCGCAGCGGCCAGCCATGGAAACGATTCTACTACTGTTCGGCGAACGCGAAATTTCCTCGCAACCGATGTTCGTGCGCAATATCACCAACGTTTCCCACGACTCTCATAAAAGGTCTTACCGAATATAAGTGGGCGTATACGCTAAGCTTTCTTTTCATTTTCTCTCTCTCTCTCTTTCTTCCTCTCTCGTTTGGCCGCTGCCGCTGCCGCTTCTTTATGCAAGCTTTATGCAAGCGTTGAGCAATGATTTAAAACGCATCTAGCTGTTCTGCGCAAGAGAAAAGCCGCTTTCAGTGAATTTAATTATCAAAATAATGCGTGTTTTTCTTTTTTACTGACAATTAGTCGCGCAGCAGAGGATCGGAAACGTTACCGAGATTGCTCCTGATGAAATCACGCCGATGTCAGCGAGTAACCACGAGTTTTCATTGCGATATATTCATGTAATTTTATTTCTATTTACGTGATTTATACCGCAAGAAAATATTACGTCTGATTTCTCGCTTTCGATGTCATAATTTAATACGATAGCAGTGCGGTATGTTTTTTTTTTCTTTTTTGATCAGGAATCTTAATTTTATTCCTTCTTCTATTTTTTTTCCTATTAATATGTCTTACGGAATTCTCCCGACGTAACGTTCCCGTACGGAATTCTTGATGGTTCGTGAAATGCGACTGGAATACTACGAAGAAATGTAGAACGAAGAGGAATCATGATAAATGGCTGGGTTATTATTAGGCGCCGGCGATGCTGCGAGAGCGAGCTTTCGTTAAGTACAAGCCGACTGAATTATTCTCAGGAGAGGCACAACGGAAAAGTGGATTTTGCCAGACAAAGGGACAGGCTGAAAATTGTTTCTCAAGGCTTTCCCAAGTTAATTTGGACGAAAATTAAACTTTTAACTTTCGATACACGTATCCTGATCAGCAATTACGCCTTCACACACTTAGCTTTTAATTTAATCTCTTTTTATTCGAAAAACATACTTTATTCTGAACAAATTTCAACTGCAAAAAGGACACTCCTAAAGTTTTATGCAAATCTATGCAAATTTCTAGAATAGGATTCAAGAATAAAATATCGCATAATTACCGAAAAATATTTCGTATGATATACGCATGATTCGTAATGAAATGACATCATATATCCTACTTTATTATTATAAATAGTGCGGTAATTAAAGCGTTGGCTTTACGTTTTATTCGATAAGATAAAGGAGTCCTTCTTACGCTAATGACTCATTCAGAAGAGAATGGAATCCGTATGTGTCTTTTCATATCACGCCGAGGATACAAAATTTAGCGGGATGGCAAAGTTTATCTCTTTCTTAGACCTACCAAATTCTCTGAGTATACTTGCGCTTATGATCGAGAATCAGTTCTCGGTCGGCGCAATCGGCTGACTATTCGCCGATATGTAGAGTAAATTAAGAGGACGGATGGTGGTGTGATACGCAATCATGCGATCGTGCGCAAGTGACGCGCAGACCGAGAGCGAGCAATTTATTTTGAAAGTATTTCGAATATGTCATTAAAATAGATACGCGGCATCTTTTCGCCCTTAAGAATTAATCGTTAAATTCCCATTATTTTATCAAATCTGATTTATTAGCAGCCTTTTGTAAAATAAGCGGCTCTGTGCTATGCGCGGCATCAGATATACAGGATGTGTCAGATTTACAGAATGATATTTTAGAAAAGAGACTATGTCGGAATCGAGACTATGTCACTTCAAGATGTCTGTGTATGTGTATACGATTTAAAATTCGGAAGAAATATTCTCTATTATATTAAAGGTCCTCTCCAAATTGATCGCAGAAAATGTGTCTATCCTAAAATATTTTTGAGAAATCATCGAACATCCTGTATAGCAATCCAATTGGCGCGATTCTCACTTACGATAAATCTCGACGAAATTTTAACATACTGGAAGACGTTCCTTCCGCATTCCTGTAGTCTTCATCGTCGTAAGACATAGGCGCGATTTAAATCGCGAATCGCTCGACGAATTTACACTTCGCGCCTGTAAACACTGTGGAAATTTACGATCGCAAGCTAGAGGAGATTTATATTCAGCCTCTGCGCTTCGTTCTCAAGCGAAGCGACGACGAAGTCGCGCGTAGACATCAATGTTGAAGACCACGTTCCTCAACGTCGAAGCGGATATTCCTTCGGAGCGGACAGAGAACATGTACGCTTCTCTTTGAAGTACAACGATATATATCGTATATACATATTCGCTTTCCGATGCCGAAGAAGAAAACGCGCGACCTCGGCATTCGGAGGCTGCGACCGGAGATCCTCGAGTCTCAATTCCGGAGAATATCGAGTCTAACGTTAAAGACACCTTAACATTGAATTTAACAGCAGTGATCAGTGGCCTGGCGGGAGATCAATCGACGGTATTCGAAATCCGTCTAACGGGGGAGGATGGCAAAATCCGATCCGCGGGGTTCAGCAGATGACTCCGGGACATCGCGCATTCTAGACGATCTAAACATGTCGATAATAGTCGCGCGCGATGTTTACGCTCGTCCGCTCGTCTCCTCTCGAATCGCCACTCTCAACGTGATGATGACCGTCACACGTTCCCTCTTCTTCAGTCCTTGCTGTATATATGTATGTACACGCAACACGCACGCAAGTGCTCTCTCGAGAGGCGATCGAGAGGCGGCCGGCCAGGCTACGTTGTGACTGTCGCGCGCGATAATATAAACGCACTTATCGGCTTATTATCAGCGAATTCCGCGGCGGCAACGCCAAGTAACGATGGCGTTAGGAGCGGGAGGTCCGCGTTCTTACCATGGCGCCAGGTTTCCCGGAATCCCCGGGCTTTCCGGACTCTCCCCTCAGTCCCATGGGGCCCTGAAAGTAGATAGACAGAACGCCTGTCAGCGTGTCTCGATTTGGCACGATTTGGCGATACCGCACGCAAGTTGGCGGCTCGCAAGCGCGCGCGGCTTGGCTACCGCTCAAAGGACGATATGCACCTCTATGCTTGTATTTGTATTGTATCGGTTTTATCATGCAGAGAAATTGTGTATACCTTCGTACATGTGCGCACGCACCTCTTCCCGTCTTTCTTTCTCGTGTACCTACTTTGTTCTGGCGATAAAGTCCAATTCAAGTTAATTATACCACGTGCCACAATACTCCATAGTCCCTTTCAGCCCCCAATTTGTCTTGCAAAGATATGTATGTATAAAAGATATTTTATATTTAAATTTATTTTTTTTATATATTATATATTTAAAATTTTATATATATTTTTATTATTCGAAATATATATGTATCATAAAAATATGGCAGTAAAGATACTTAAAACGGGCTGAAAGGGATAAGAACGTTATGTACGTTAGAATTTTCAGATCGTGAATTTTACGGAAAAAGCGAAAACGCAGAATTGTAGGATACAGGACTCTCTTTCGGGGAATATCCGGCGGATATTCGCGTCCCGTCCGTCTTCCTGCATCCGCGTTTATAGAGCGTGCTTAAGGCTACGCGTATGTGTGCGTGTGTGCGTGCGTGTGTAATCTGGAGAGAAAATACGTACGGGTAGTCCCATCGGACCAGGATCTCCTTTGGCACCCTTCTCTCCCTGCAACGTGAAAAAAGAAAAGGGTGACGCGTGAGAACGGGTTTACTCGCATCGCGATGGTGTGTCGCGCACGCAAAAAGGTCATCTCACAAAGATCACCGACGCGAATAACTTCACGCCTCGGGAGTCACATCGCTAACGCGATCTTGCTCGCGAAGGGCGCTCGAATAATTACTAGCGCTCTTCGCTCGTTCTTTCCTTGGCTTATCTCGCGATTATGTAAAATATATATCTCGTTTAATTAATTATTTACTCCTTTTAATCTCATATATTTGATAAAAGGCATATCAGAAAATAAAAATATCAAGAAGAATGCATTTTCTCCCGTTATTTCATGTACTGTAATTTTTTATTGTTTATTACAGCACATGAGATAAACTAATTGAAAAAAAAGTATTTATCATTGCGATCATAACCGAACTTGCTGTAGTGGTTACATTTTTTAGATTCAATAATAGTATGACAAACATATGTACTTAAAAAGTTTTTGCAACGTTTTTGTGCATAAAATAGCGACGCGCAAACAGATCAATTTTGTTATACGATGTTTACAATCCGGAAAAAGAGAGAACTTGTTTATTTTCGGTCGGGTAATCAACGCGAACGCGTAATTGCTTTTTACGTTCTATGTGTGACATTTGCGCGATCAACAGATAGATAATAGTTACTGACAGAATCGCCCTTGGCGCCGTCGTGTCCTCTGTCACCCTTGATGCCGGGTGGACCCTGCAGTCCGGGAGTACCAGCGGGTCCTGGAGGTCCAGGTGGACCCATTATCTATACATCGACAAAATGCCACAAATTAAAAAGTTCGTAATCGATTTTGCTTAATTTACAGCGAAGAATGCAAATATTTATTTAACTTTGAATTCTACAATCTTCGCGTATAAAATTTTCTATAATTATTATTATATAAAACTTGTTTCTTAAAAATGTTGATCCCGATAAACGAGACAATTTTGTTTTCATTGTTTTTTAAAAATACCAATTTCGATAAACGTACCGTAAAAGCGGAAAATACAAACGGATTTTGCTCAACAATTTTTATAGCGCTTCAGGGAAATTGCTTTATAATCTCCATAAATCGCCGCAAAGGGTTACATAACTCCATAAAACGTGGCCATAGCAGGGTATAAAGTCGATGCCGCAATAGCGACGCGGCCGAAAATTTAAAAGCCGCTCGAACACGGCAGCGAAGCGATATTGTTCACGATATTTCTTTAAAAGGATGGGATACATTTCCATATCGTGCATATAACATCAACTGGCGAATATAATTCGTAAGATTATTCGTGAGATAACTTACCACTTCCCCGGCATTCATCTCAAACGTGCCATCTCCCTGCGAACAAACGTGCGTTTGACATATTTACACGTGCGTTAATATCACGTTACACGTTATTTGATGTATTAAACATAAGTTTTTTCGAGCATCCTTTCTCAATCGATCGACCATTTTCGTCGTACGATCAAAGACGAAAGGATACGAAAATATCTTGGACATAAACTGTCACGTACCTGTCTTCGCCTAAGCTTTTTGTACTTCTATGGGTGGAAGGCCGATGTCCCGCCATGAAAAGAAAATTTATTCTATCGTCAGATTCTGCTTAACACATGTCGGAATCGCAGTTTCGTGTTTATCGCGAATGTTATTGTGACGAAAATACGATAATATCGAGAAGATAGAGCGTTTTCAATAGCTGCGTTTATCGTGAACGATCAACAATAAAAGATGTATTGGCATGTTTTTTTGATAATAGGTATTGCTAAGAAATTTATTGAATTTTGAACAAGATTAGTTTTGCTTCGATAAGATCATATTTTCTGCGATACAATATGTATGATGATATTGAATATGAAAAACACGGAAACGTAGTTGAAAATTATATAAAAATAATAAAATGTTGTAAATTCTTTTATTTATTTTCACATAAATTTTTAATCTCTTATATTATTCTTTTTTTTATATAATTCTTTATTCAAAAAACTGATATTTGTATTATATTTTTAATGTCAAAATTTGTAGCGGATGTGATGCGATTTGATAAACGCAACATTGACAAATGTACTCACCGATTCGCCTTTCTCTCCCTTTTCGCCCTTCATCCCAGGATAGCCCTGTCAACAGGCAAAAATCGCATAAGACAGAATATATACGATAAAAGAAATCGTGTTGAAGCGTGACGTTACAGGCAATTTACGTACCGGCGGACCGGGTAGACCCGGAGGTCCCATAAGACCTGGAGGACCGATGTCGCCATAATCACCCTTTTCACCTTTGGGTCCGGATATTCCCTGGAGAGAGACAGACGAGCGCGACGCATACGTAAAATATTACAGATTTACTATCTCTTAATTCTCCGGGAAGATTCTCAATGTGCTTGCATTTTAAATAAATTTCAAACACAATGTGTATACATAATTTAATATATAATTTTTATAAAAAATATAACGCATGAGAAATGTCTGTGCATCAAAAAATATAGCAAATAAATAATATGTAATGTATGCTATATAAATTTAATTTTCTTATCAAATTTCTTGCTCACTCTTCTTAATTCAATATACGTATATAATATGTATAACATAAAATAAGCTAATAACGTTATGCACAGTCGAATAAGGAAAGGGATATTAAATTTTCGCCACCTTTGTGAAACACGTGGCGTGTAATGTCTACTGAATATTACGTCGGGAAGACCGTGGGAGAGAGAAGATTTTGGGGAGAACATTTCTCATTTGCGTCCTACTTACCGGTAATCCTGGGGGTCCTTGAATACCGGGATCGCCGTCGGTTCCGTTGAGCCCCGGCAAGCCCTGCTGTCCCGCCTCTCCCTTGGGCCCTGAAAAGCGAATTTGCCGACCATGAGATGCCAGTTGTTCGCTCGCCGAAGTTAGATTAATTTGCGCTCGCGCGCGCGATCGATGTGATTCTCGCAATTCCGTAAACGCGTGCGCGCGGTAAGAAAGCCTCCCCTTTTCTCTCTTTATCCGGCCACTTCGCCTTCCTCTTCCATCGTTTCTTCACTTCTCGACTTCTCATTTCGCCCCGAGTGATTCTCCGTGCCGGGAATACCTCCGGCGTGTTTATTCCGCCTCGAAAGAATGACTTTCCCCGAGAGACACTCGATGTTTATTGTCGATCCAAGTATCGAGGATCTTTAAATATACACGAGTTTTCTCTTCTTAAATACTTTCAGCAATGAATGCAAAATAATTCTAAATATGAGTATTGAGTTTATCATTTATACCTCGAGATAAAAATGTGATTGATCAGCGATGTTTTTTTGTATATATTGATAAAGTAATCTCATACTTAATTTGTATATCGCTTTTAAAGTCAATAAAGTGTCAATAAATTAATAACTTTTGTATATGTACACTTTGCCGATACTTTAATTGACATTGTGAATTTTCATTCATTAAAAATCTATTTTCATTTATTAAAAATCGTATCGATTATCTTTTAATATTTGTCAGTAAATAATAACACAATAATATTGATATAACAATGAAACAATAAATTTCGCGTGCGATGACCTTTTTAGAAAACAAACGTTTAATTAAATTCCATTCAATCCAATATCAACGAATTAATACTACATAAATCGAAGTTATTAACTTTTGATTAAAATTTTTCCCGGAAGACGAAATTGAAGTGTTAGAATTCGAAAGAGATTGGGGGAGGACTGCCACAAATTCTTTTTTTTTTTTTCGAGAGCCAACGCGCTAGCTCGTTTTCAAGTTTCGAGAGAACTTTTCGAATCGTTTTGCCATTAAATCTTCAAAAGTTGGACAGGAAACTTCGAATTGATCTTACACCCGCGTATCCATTGCACCTGCATCATTTCTTGCATGTTCGTATAATCAGATGAAAAAGTAGAATTTTCTAATATGTGAATCACACACGTAAAATCCTTCTTTTACAAACAATTATATAGACATTAGTAGATGAAAATGCGATGTCATTAGTTTAACGGCAATTGATGGAAGTTCGAGCAAAACGAATTATACAAGAAAAATTCGCGGGGATTTATTTTTCTAGAACAAATTTTCGATATGCTGATTATAAATTTTTGAAAAATAGATACTTATAATTGAACAAAAAAGAAGAAAAACATTTTAGTGATTTAAAAACCGTTTAGCAGCATTAATCACCGGGAGCGAAATAAAAGTGGCTATTGTGCTGCTAACCATCGTTGTAGAGAAAGTTACAAATCTTTATAATCTTTTTCACGCACGGGTGCGCGGAGCGAAGAGGCGCGGCCGAAGGTACGAAGGACGAGGAACGGCGAATCTTCGTGGGAAGGACCCACGAAGAGTCCGCGTCCTGGCCACGAAGTGAGAGGGCGGACGCGATCGTTTTTCTCGGCGCTTATTCTCCGTTTATCCCGTCGATTTTCCGCCGCGATAGGGCGGTATTATCTACCTGATAAACCCGCGTCTCCCTTGCTGCCCCTTTCGCCGGGCTCACCCTTCGGACCCGGAAGGCCGAGAACACCCCTCGCCAATGTCACACCGCTCTCACCCTTGAAACCCTACAATGACACTGCAAGGTCAGATCCAACCAGGTCCTCCATGTGCTCTGTCAATTTTGTTTTGCTTCTACAATGAAGCGTTAATCTGTCTTCTTTTAGAGAGGAAGGAGAGGAGGAAGGGATGGTGCTTTGAGATCTACGTCGGTGATGTCGGTCGATTTTGGCTCTGCATATCGATTAAATTTAATCATTTTTTGTACACGCATCAAAATAATCTCGAGTTTGCATAATTTTTCGCTCGATATTTTGAGAACCAAAATCGTCCAGCAATTTTTTTATACACAATTTTTTATACACACGCTATTTTATATTACACAATTAAACGCACTTGTGATTTAAACAAATATCAGTGTTTACTTTGTGACGTAGACAATGATTACTAATACTCATGCGACTAGGAAGGATTCGTTAGTGGGTTCAAATTTAGTAGAAAATTGGGAGCTACTAGTATCTCTCTTTCTCCCTTGCGCTTCGTGATAGTATCTGATTTATATCTCTTCCTATAATTACCTGTAGAATACATAACCTGTAGAATCGATCATATTAGATTAATAGGATTCTTTTTTGTTCGCAAAATGATCCTATAAATTTTCGACAAATACTACGTATTGGCAATTTTAGACGGCAGTAAAGATCTTCAATTTTGAAACATTACAGGACATAATTTAAATAATTTGAAATATGATTAAAAACAAAAATAAATATTAAAATCTAATATAGAGCTCTTTATTTAAATTTAGATAATAATTATAGAATTTAATGCTGTAGTAATAAAAAAACACGAGAAAGATTATACGAGAGAGAAAGAGAGGAGGCGAACGAGGGATAAGATATACAAACAGAAAAAAAGTATTATATAAAAATAGATAAAAATTAATTGCGCGTACAGACGAGCGTAGATAGAGACATCATGATCGCGACAGAATAAGCTACATACTTTGACAGATTTGGAATACTTACGCGATAGGCTGCAGGCGCTTGCGATCGTCGGTTGATAAGGTTGCGAGAGCCTCAACACAACAACAAGCCGAGGAGTAGTAGTGGTTATTAGTGATTAGTGAATCGAACCAACACACGGGGGAGAAGTAGTGGGGATGTTGTTACTCGCTACATAAACACAAATTAGTTACACAAGCTACGTACACTACACGCCGAGGATCGCTACTAACTAACTGTACACACATATACATACATATATACTGTCAAAAGCGATCGATATCACTCCAAAAAGGGGTTGCAACAAATATAATCAACCAAAGATATATTTTAGAGATGCCTTGACAAATTTATAATATAATTGTTTTAGTAAGAATATTGGATAAAATCATCAATCAATTTTTTTCAAATTTTTAACGTTATATTTTATCAAGAAAATTTTAAATTAATATTCAGTTCGTTGATAAACTCGTTTTAAAATTAAATAATAAGTTAAATAAGTTAAAGATTTATTTTATAAAGATTTTATAGAAATTTTCATATTGGAAAAAAATCGACATCACCAATTATCCGTCTTTAAATTATTTTTGGTTTTAGAAACACCCTGTATATACGTTGACTGTTGTTAAGTGTACACTTGGCCGCGGCTTTGCAATCGGGACGCACGCAGCGCATCCAAATCCAAATCCGTGTCTCGTTAGAGAGGCAAATGGAGCGGAGGGATGAAGTTGCGAGCGAGTTTGCTTCGTGGTCGAATGGCGAATTTTACGGTTCGATGAATCGAAGGTAAGTATCACGGACCAACATGCATATCCGCAAGTTTAACGTCGCGGTTCGACCGGCAAAGTTGCTCGAAAGGGTAATTCTCAGCGCGCGAAACTTACTGCATTTGCAATTGACGCTGTCGCGTTACAAGATTGTGTTGATTTCGCGTTTAATTCCGTTCATTATAAATACAAGTTTTCGTTGGAAGGCTTTAAAGATATCTCAAAATGTCTTAACAATGGAAAAGTGCATTTATTTTTAAAGAATTCTCTTTAAGAAAAATAATTTTTTATTTTTATAAAATATATTTTTTTTATTTTTAATGCAGTAAAGTTTACTATAATTCATATATCTCCGGACTGGATTTTAATTTAATTTCTACATATTGGTATAATTTTTTTCAAAAGATGCGAAATTCACGGAAATATTCATTTTTTACTCATTAGGCAGTCACGTCTTTAATGTTACACATAAATTTCGCCATCAAAAGTATCCTCCGACCATGTACCAGCATTTCGTTGCAAAAAGAACGGCTCAATGTAAATCCGCAAAAATAAAATATATGATTTTATGTAGAATTTAATAATTTTATAGAATGAAATACTCTTTTTCGCTCGCAAATGCATGAAATTAGCAAGCGAACTTTGCGTTACATAAGAAACGCTATACTTTAATTGCATATTAAATAACCATCACATGAGCATATTTGAAAATTGATATCGGTACCAGATAAAATTTCAGAAGGAAAAAGAATCGTTTGATAGAGAATCGTACTTCATGTACAAGTCTAATTTATTTGATGTGGAAAATTTCTTCTTTCAAATAAACCCATAGCTTTTTCATTTAATTTAGAAATATAAGTAATTCTTTCTCTTTTCATGTTCTAAAATTTTAATATATAAAATACTGACAGATGTATGACAAAAATGAGAGTCGTAAAAAGCAGAAGCAGTATAAAATTACATCTTTTTGTCATCTTTATGGCAAACTATTTCATTTTTTATTTATATTAAATAACATTTTCAAAAATATTAAATTTTTGCCTCACTAAAACTAAATTAGAACAATTACACATTTTACCTTGAAGAACATAAATCTTAAGAAATTAATGTTTGTAATATTTATATATGTATATATAATTTCATCGATCAAATTATATTCTAAAATCACGTTTCACTCAACAATTTTGAACACGTTAAATGCCACGGTGGTCGCTGGTGACCAGCAAAATCAGGCTGACATGTCTCATTAATTTACGGGCCAACCACGAGCGTGTAGAAAATTACATGTATCGTCAATATGGAGTCAATTAACAAGCTAACTATAACAAAGTATTTCGCACATAGCCCATGTATATGTATAATTAAAATTATACAGTGTTCAAATTTCCAATTAATTAATTATAAATTAATCGATATATCTTAATTCAACGTATGAAATCAATTAATATCATGATTTAACGTTGATCTACGAATGTCTAAAGATACGCACGTGCGGTCACCGTTTGCAATTAGCCGCCTAGAGAGTTACAATCACTCGGCAGAACTACGAGTATACTTACGATGGACCCGAAAGAGTAGTATAGTCGCACGCCAAGCAGTAGTTTACGGATGTTAGGCGCGTAGGCGTGTGTAATTCGGCCGGAAGGAGAGAGCGCTTAAGCCCACCACCCTCTGCTTGCTCGCTTGCCAACCAGGGTTCACACAGCCTGCGATTCGCGAGCCCCGGTTGCCGGTGATGCTGCGTGCGAGCGCGGAGACGATCTCAACGTCTCGACGTCTCGCGCGTGTTGGATTAAGGGTAAAAAAAAAATACAACGAGAGAATGTTAAGGGGTAAATGGGAAACCGAGGAGAAGCCTCGGGTACCATAATATTCGTACGTGTTATTTGCTGCCACCAACGTTTTTTTTTTCTACTTTTTCTTTTCTTTTTCCTGCCTGTTATTTCATTTTTTTATTGTTCTCTCTTTGCTGTTATTCTTTATCTTTTTTTTTTGTATTTTACGAGACGAAAAACGAGAGAGTCCCGACAATCGCTCGAGGTACGTATGCAATTTCGTAAACGGATACGAGAACGCGAGGAAAGTTCCGACAAAAGCGTGAAAAAATATCGAATATGTGTATGAAAATATATGCGATTTCACGAATTAAATGGCAACAAAAGTAACAGCTGCGGAACAATGTTTTGAATATAAATAATACACATCCATATATAAAATATATTTCGCAACCAATATTTTTGAAGCGATTCATCAATTCCGAATTTGATATTTTATGTTTTTCTGAATTCAATTTTGTTTATCAATTTTATTTGATTCTACAAAGTTTAAATGTATAGGCGCATGTGACTGCATTTTAAAAACCATTGCTTTTTCAATGAAATTGTTTTTCTTCTTTGAATTCAGTAATCAAATAAGGGGTTAAAGGATTTATTTATAGCACGATATTCATGTTTTTTTTTCAAATTTTAATAAAAGATATGAATCTTAATATTAATTCTTTTTTATTGCCCTTATGTCATTGAAATTTCGACAGGAAATCAGTAAACATGCTCGAAAAGTGAAATTACAAATCGCTTTACGACGGAGGAACTTTCCTCGGCCCGTAACCATCCCGGTGATGATGCTGTTCAGCTGCAGCTTATTCGATGATGCAAGTGTGACGGCGTGATATATACGTGCTCATTCTCGCGTGACTGCGTGAGGAGTGTCATGCACGCGCGGGGTTGATGCGTTTTATAGCGACAGTCGCTCGTTTTCGCGACTAAGAGAGAGGGAGAAAGAGATCTTGGGATTACAAAATCTAATATTCCGTGGGAAAGCGCGAGACGTCAGCGATGCTCGAAAGTAGGACAAAAGGAACCAAGAAGGCGATAAAAAGAAAAGAGATAAAAAGAACATTTTCACGCAGAAGAGAGAATTACGGCATTATTCTTTGGAACTGCGGAGAGAGTTATTTAATCGATAAGAAGAAAATAAAAGATTGATGATTGAAATTTTCAGGAAAATCGAGCGTAATTTTAACTTGAAATTTATTTTTTTCCTAATATATAATTGATGTTACAAAGTAACATTTATCTCCTTCATATCGCTACAGTGTACAAAAATAGGAATTTAATTCTCGATTAACATTCTTTAAATTTAGATTGATTAATATTCTCAAAAATTGAAATATTATGAGCAAATAAAAACGAAATGTGATAAAATGGAAATGTAAACGTTGAACGACACGAGAAGCGCTCCTCTAATTAAAACGCGGATAAGGGCGATATAATCAGCAATTTCAAATCAGGGACCGCGTCGGAAACTCGGGAACGTCGCTGGCTATAAACCCGTGTATATTATATGTACTGGAAAAGCATATGTGACACGATACAAAAACAGACTATATTCCACACGGAAGAAAGCTACGATTACATCATGCTACGCTCATAAAAGAGATAGTAACATCCAAGAGACATGCGGTTATCAACGTCCACGTGGACGAGAATGCCCGATATATGTATATACGTATATCCACACATTTTTCCCTCATGCAAAGCATGCACACAGCGTGCGGGAGGCAGGAGGCAATGGGATAACGGGGGTCAAGGGGGGTACAGGATATCGAGGAACAGATTGAACGAGAAATCATCTTTTCTTTTCTTTTCTTTTTTTTTTTTTTAATTTCTTTCCGCTTCTCCTGCGCGTTCGGATTCAATCAGGATAACGGGATTGGTCGGGTGAATGGATGGATGGTCGTATGGAGTTGCTTTGGTCGACGATCGGTGGCGGTCGGAGGACCTTGCTGAAGCTTACCCTCTTCCCTGGCTTTCCCCGAGCACCCTTCTCGCCGGGCAGACCGGGCGGTCCCGTCGGGCCCAATTCTCCTTTCTCGCCCTGGGGCCCTGCGTGCCGTGCATAAGATGAGACATGATGCATACCAACAACTTGGTTCGTTCGCTCGCACGCACGCACGCGAACGAGCCGCGCGAAATTTCCGGGGTCGACTGTCATTCCGCGAGTTAAGTGCCGTTTGACGGATCGCGTGATCGATCTTTACGGAAGCGTATTTACGGACGCGTCGACACCGAGAGAACGTAACGCTGCGGCCATTTTTTTGACGGTATTACGCGAGGGAAACTTTACGAAGAATAATTATACGTGGTTGGCTAAAGCGATAAAATGTAAATGCGACATCGAAAGTAAGTAAACGTAATTATTACAAACTTTTGGAATATGTTCAGTGTAATAAGTCAATCAGGACTGAACAGCTAAAGATTAAAATTATAATTTGTCGAGCATCATATGGATTTTCTCTTGTAGCGTGTCATCAATCATCGCGATATCGCTACTAATTAAATTATAATTTATCGCGTTTTTGATTCCAATCAACGGATGGAATTGACAGCTAAAATGATATCAGAACGAGATACTGTATTATCGGAATAAAGGCAAACAATCTTCTATACCTGCATAATATTTCCTTTAGTTAATGATAAATGACATTTGTCACGACTAATTTTTATAATTTAATATTGTGTTATAATCTTTTAGAATTTGTTATAATCTCATGATACAAGCTTCTATCTGATAACAAGTTTAAAAATTTTGATTTATACATCTTCACAATGATAAATATATTTCAATTTAGAAAGAGACAATATACCATGTTAGTGAAAAAATATTACTATATTTCATCTATATTTCAAACCTTTTTATACGCGTCTTTTTATACACACGTTATTTATGTTATAAAATGACAAATTTTGCAAGTGTAGGAAATTTCACGCGCGTACATACACAAGTCGGGATTTGAGTGTCGCATAAATGAATAGAGTAAATATTCTAGACAAAACACGCTGATTCTAGAATACGACACTGTACAATATCGACAGTAGCGTTTCCGGGTGTCTACATTGCGTCGCAATCCGTGCTGTGAAATTGCGAGACGGATTCGTGTATATGTGGGTAAATTAATTCTGTCAGGTGCGCATGTATAATGCTCGGAAACGGTGTTACCGTCCTTAGTTTCCTTGCTTGTCGTCGTACAATGGTATAAAGACGGATTAGTGTTCACGTAATTTCGTTCTGTCGAACGCGTCGCGCGGACTCGCAACATTCTCGTTACGCTTGTCTCCATGCATGAGATATCGGAACTATTTTATCGATACTGGATTATATTTCTCGCATGGGGAAAACGAATCGACGTAAAGCCCCTCATCTAGAATTCAAACAGTCTGTATCTAAAATCGGAAAGAGAAGAATTTTAAACCCTCGCGATCTTTTTACTAAATTCCTCTTTTGGAATCTTCATCTTTAATTCATCCTCAATTAAATTAAAAATTTAGTTTGGTTTCTTTTAAAAATAGTATCTAATTATTTTCCGCGTTCAACGCCTCACCTGACACTTGCCCACAAATCTATCTTTGAAAAAAAACTTTAGAGAAATGTATAGTATATGCTATAAATTTTTTCAATCTATACTTTAACTCTCTCTAATCTCTTTAAACTATTAAAAAATGTCGCAAGGAGAGTATGTTCAAACATTTCTCCATGTTCTATAATGTTGACGAGTCCCATTCGATTATAAGTTTCTCTCGGATCAATGATGTCACGAAGCAATAACTAATATTCGCGACGCTTTTGCCAATATCCGACGTCATGGTCAACACAGCGCGCGGTAAACGGCCGTTTACGAGCGAGGGAGGAGATCGGATTTCTGAATACGTCCACGATCGTAAATCATTTTCTCGCCGCCGCGAGCGCGGGACGGCGGGGGCGTGCGAACGTTGACGAACGACCGGGTCGTGAGATATTGGAGGGTCGGAATTTTTTAAGTCCTAGAGTCCCGCGCGCGTTTTTCGCGACGAGATATCCTTCAGCTTCCGTTCGCGAATACCTCAGGGCTGCGCATTTATTACCTCTTGAGCTATTCACGAGAGATGGTGCACACGTGTCTCTTGTCTTGTAACTTTAAGCAAGAGAGAGCGAGGGATTGAATCTTTTATACACACAGAATGTCTAAGAATTGTCATGAGAGAGAAACTCCCGCTGCAGGTTACAGATTCTCGACTACGAGACTTTTTTGTGGCGAATGTTTCATGGAAACACCGATTGTAGTCTTTTAATATTATAAAAGACGTTATGAATTTATGAAATTTACAGTTAATTTGATCTAATTAAAAAATACTTTCAAATTCGTAAAAAATTCAATTTGTAAATTCGTCTTCATTTCCGAGATATATATAAGTTTGATACTAAACTAAATTATAATTATCACTTTGCATATATAATAATTGAACAAGAGTCATGTTGACAATTCTTTCCGCAGAGAGAAATTTATCTTTCCGATATTCTCTTGTATCTATCCACTTTCGACGCGACTCTATCGTACTTCGCGAGATGTAGACGTTGCGTAGTTTTTTGGACAATGCCTCTCGAGGACGCTCAACTCCAAAAGGGTTAATGTCCTCGCGTTCGGGACGAGTAGCGTAGAGAGACGGAGAGAAAAAAAGCAAGATGTTCGCGAATGGTAAAGAAAGATTTGCTCACGGCCGCATATATTACTACGGCGAGGCGCGCTACACGTGTAGATACGCCCACCATAGGTACAACCGATCGCCTCTCGATCCTCGTCGAGGAATTGCACGATCATTCAAGCCAAGATTTCCTCGTCAAACATTTCCGCATTTTCTTCGCCCGAGGCCACGCGTCCGCTCGAGAAGAGATAATCGATTCACAAATGAATGACATTTGCGCTCCGACCCGAATGAGCCGCGTATATAATTGTTTGATTCTCTCGCCCGATCACAATATTAATGATTTCTCGATGGGATTTTAAATCGCGCCTTCAATAGCGAAAAACATCTATTCATGAGAGAATCGTAAAAAATATTCACAATGAATTTGACTGTGTTGCGCATCGAAATTATAACAGCAGCTTGGATAATGAGAAAATAAACCGTGTACAATTTTAATAAAATATGTATCACACGTTTTTTGAAATTACAAACGCAGAGAAAATAAAACATTCAAATAATAATGCAAAAATAATATAGGACCCTTACGATTTTCCAATTAAACACTAAAGGGCTATATGATACTTGGATAGAATAAATGTTTGACGAAACAAATAATTTATAGGGAAGATTCGCGTAAAAATTTTGCGCTGCTTTCGCATTCCGGACGGAGATACAATCAACGTGAGGTATTTAATCATTTATCTTGTATGCAGATTATCTCATTTGTATGCTTACCAGGCGGTCCTGGTGGACCAGGTGGGCCCTCGAATACTGGACTTGCGAACTGGTCACCCTTCAAGGTCGTCGTGTAGCCTCGATCGCCTTTATCACCCTTGTCACCCTATTGAACATAAACTTTCGATGATTCGTATACACTTATTTATATAATACATAATATTGTATAATTTGCATTTTTATATACGTTTTATAAGACGATAATTATTTTCTGAAAATAAAATGTCTCATATTTCTTTTTCTTCGTTATTTTCTCGACTAATGAGTTAATTTAAAAAACACTGTCCTAGATGCATCCCGTTTGATAGTATCCTTTATCGTAGCAGTATCAAGCGTCGCTAATTAATATGCAGGAACATGCTTTTGAATGTAATTAATTATAGTTGAATTAAATTAACAATGCGCCGGACGTAATTAATACTCTATTGTTCTATAATCGCTCTGTTGTACTTCATTAATAATTATCGGTTACCTAACCTTTTGAAAGGTGCAATATTAAGTGCACAATATCCGGTATAGCTCTGTGCCCTTTTCAATTTCTATGAATACTCACGCACATACATACATAAATACACACACACACATACACACACACACACACACACACACACACACACACACGTATATGTATACACATACATATAAATTTATTTGAATGGAGTGAAACATTTCTATCCGAAAAATACGGATAAGGGATAAAACAATGCATTCTCTTTTTTTGCTTTTGTGTCAACTGATTGAAAGATTCATCCCGCGCTATTAAACTAAATTGAAAACGCTGTTGAAATTTGAAGAAAATTCAAAATCCCGCGAGATTAGTCGGATTTGTTTCAAACCGCGTACTTGAAAGCGCGCGGCACGTAATGATTACATAATTTCACGATAACATGATTATCTTGCGTTGATGTATCCGTAATATTAAATCACTCCCTGTGGAATTTTGAACACGAGTATTGCACGTTTGATACGTCGAAACATGCAAGCCCGCGGTCATATGTGAAAATGTGTTTTATAATTCCAAGAGTAAATAAAGTTATGCTCAAATTCCGTATTATTCATGGATAAGTTATCAACAAAGTGGTAATAGGTTCAATTAATTCTTCAACGATATGATGTAACGTATTTTCGAAAATAAAATTTATTTATGTTTATCTTGCAAACATAGCATGTTTACAACATGATATGTTTGCATGGAAACATATCACTTTTAAAATATTATTTTTTCTTGAACATTTTTTTCTTGCCTTTTATATTTCTTTTTTGAAATTTTAATGGCCACAAATATTTTTAATTAATATTAACAAGAGACAACATTGTTTTTTTTATTTATAGCAATTTTATCACTTTTCCACTATTTATATTCTCATGTTGCAATTTCAATTCTGTCTCTCATCATTTCTATTTTTTTTATATATATATTTCGAAATTACACAAGAAGAATGCAAGAAAAAGATCTACAAATCTAATGTAATTGTTCAAAAATTAAATATTAGTATTTTTAAAAACATTAGAATATATTAAAAAACTATATATATATTATAAAAATAATATTAGAAGAATTTCCCAAGTAGATCTTTTATCAAGTCTCCATAAAAAAAAATGCAACTTTCATCCTTTACGTGATGGTGCACCTGCCAGACCACGAAGAGGAAGACCGAGAAAAGTTCTCGACTCTGAGAAAAGAGCGACATCCGACACCTCGAGAGACGAGGATGACCGGATGCGTAATCGGATTCAGCGGATGTGTAACCGGTCGCGCAAATTAATCTCTCGGACTCACCTTAGGACCTACAAGTCCTGGCGTGCCCGGCGGACCAACAGGCCCGATTGGCCCGGGCGGGCCCTTTTCTCCCGGCGCGCCGACGTCGCCCGGAATCCCTTGTCTGCCCTCGTGTCCGGGAAGACCCTCGGCTCCTGGCGGACCAGGTGGTCCCGGCGGTCCGGGTTCACCCGGCTCTCCCTGTTACGTCCCAAGAGCGTTACGTCGTTACGGCTTTTCTCTCCGGCGAGAGCCCTCGACACAAGAGTGTCTCTCGGTACTCGTCGGTTTGTGCCACGGACTGACGAGGGATCGACGAGGAGAGAGAGAGAGAGAGAAAGAGAAGAAAGGAGGCACAGAGAAGAACAAGAAGAAGAAGAGCCGTGGTGTACGGTCTCTTGGGTGAGCGTGTGAGGGCAGCGGAACAGCGAAAAGAAGTACATAAAAGAACGAGAGAAAACGAAAGATAGATAGACTCAGAGGTAGAGAAAGAGGCAAACAAAGTTAGAGTGCCAGAGAGAGATAGAGATAGAGAGGTATGTGGACTGGTGGACGCAGGAAAAAGGAAAAACTCGCGAGAAAACAGTGCATGGAAACGAAAGAGATCTCGGTGTACGCGTAGAGTACGGGGTTGCTTCGCGCGGATTTATGTTTCCTCGATCTAGCGAGTAACAATAACGACCCTGGAGAGAATAAATTTTTTTTTAACCGCGTCGTATTACCTCGACCCGGAGCTACTTCGACGCTGTAATAAGACGGATGAAGAGTTTTCGGTAGCGCGAGAGAATTTTTCATTAGCTCCCTCGTAAGGAGACGCCCTGAGATGGTCGAGGTAACGGGATCCCATAGAGGAATACTTTCGTGATAGCTTTTAGGATCGCTCCTATCGTCTATGGACACTTTTACGCGCTCGTTTTCGACGTAACGTAGATAACTCTTCGATGCGCGACCAGGAGCCATTAAAGAACGATGTTCATTGTCAGATCCAAGGTAGAATTACGACATAAAACAGGTTCAAATTTAATTTCGAAATATTTTATCTTTCTTCAGCAGTTCCTGGCATTTATTTTCCGACTAAAGTAATTTTTAACGACGTAACGAAAAAAATTGATTTTAAATTATTTTTCTAATTTCAATTATTTTATAAGTGTGTGTAAGGGTCTTTTTGAAAGCACGTTTAATTAATCTTTGTTTCATTACTATTGAAAATGATTTAACACGGAGAAGATTCCTCGTCAATGAAGACGAAAATTAACATATGATGTAAACATTTTGCAATTTTCCGCGAATTAAATATCTCAACAATAAAGTCACTAAATTTTCATATTTCTATCATATTATCGGGATTTTAATATCATTCTATGATATTAAAATCCCGCCAAAAATTATTAATTCCGCGCGAAAACTCTTTTCAATAATCGTACTTGAATCGAGCGATATGACGGAACGAGAAATATTGCTGTCAGTTATATAGAATACTATGCACGCTTCGGTCAAATATTAATTAGACCCTTCATCAAACGCATTCGGGGAGATGAATGCGCGCTCATCGAAGGTCCGCCATTGAAATAACATTTTCCGGTGGCGATGAGATAGCCTGCATGCATATATACACATGTGCGCGAGCAATTAATTTCTGTCACGACCGCGGGACATCGGCGCGGCGAGCAACCCCGTACGCATAAACGCGGAAGACACGTGTTTACGTGCGCTCGAAAGACGATAATATGATGCGTCGTACGCGATTCGTACATTCGAATACTCGTGCATTACACGCACGTGCTGCGTGAAATCGCGACGCATCCCGAGGCTGGGTGGCCAGGCTAAATAACGATGGATCGTCGTTCGGCGCGTACAGCGAGACTTATGCGTGCACACGCGCACGCATACATGTACACACACGCAGACAGATGGACAGAAATGTACGAGCGATGCACGGAGGTCTACGACACGCGGCATGCATGTGCCAGACACGTATACACGTATACACGTACATTCCGAGGGCGCAGGTGCCTCTCGGATGAAAACTCAGCCGGAATAGCCCGCCGAGACGCGTTTCCGGAGATGTACGCGATCGTCGCGGGCACATTTTGCGTGGGAAGCAGCGTATATTCCGTTATTAAAAGCGAAAAAAAAAAAGATAACTTTGGCCTATACAGCAACGGCCTATACTTTTTAATTTCTCTCCCGCATATGCCGAAACGGGGCTTGATTGCACCAAAAGTAATTAAATAAATATGAATATTCATACAAGAGAGAGCACAAATATGAGGACTTTATCATATTTCAAAATGAGTAAATTTTTCATTGTTTTATTTTATTGGAAATTTGAAGGAATTTTTACGTGAATTTATAGACGATACGTTAATATATTTTTTTAAAGAGAAAGATTTATTTAAATAATAAAATGTTTTTCCTCAATTTTTTAATAAATAAATTATTTCCGATCGATGTGGCTGATTAAATCGGTGTAGGATATGTCGTTTAATTTTATTTCTGCGAAATTTCCCGCAAAAGAAACGGACAGAAGAAAAGCATATAAAAATGACAAACTTCTCGCCCTTATCCTACGAATATTTGGATGTAATAGGATTCTCTAACAGGATAATTAAGTGCGGCCAGCGTCTCATTATCGACTCCTCGATCGTAACTCTAGCTGCAATGTGAATAGAGAAAGGAAATTTAGCTCATTATGGCCAACCCTCCGGTGTTCCGGGGCTATGCTATCGTAATTCATGACCGCTCATTACTTTCGTCACCCTTATGCATTATCGCTGCCACTGTGGTAGGTACTCGCGTATTTTCATGTAAACATATTGCATTAATATCCACCAAAGCCACACTCAATGCGTATACTCTCTCTCGTGTAAAATACATATTATATTAAAACAATAGAGATTAATATTTTTTTTAGCTGTACATTTTTTAAAATAAATCTTTGCTCTCTCAAAAATACCGATCTTTATTTCTACAATCAACGCTCATATTATCTCTTGTAATAAAACGCAATATTTTTTTCGATTCCCGTCCCCGACATAATCTGACGCGAGAATAACTATCGCGCGAATTATCTCGCGATTATACATCAAATGCTCGGATGTTTTTGTTTGACCGGCGCCCATCGGAGAGTCTCAGCAGTTACTCATTCATTCCCGACAGCTACATCAATACACCGTTATCGTGCGATCATGCGATTGCGATACGATCACAGGCGAGTCTACAACATCTACAACGCACATAAATCGCCCCGCGCACACACATCCACGTGCAGGGGGCATTTATTTTACACACATCGCACTAAATGCCACAATGACAGGATAGACTGCAGATGCTTCAAAGTATGCGGTACCATGCAACGCACGCACGTACGCACACGCGCCGGTGCGTAGAGACGCGTGCGTTCTCGCATGCGGGACGGGGTCGTGCATTTTTTATTCGCGCCTTACGTATGCATCCCAGCGGTCGATGGCGAGCGTTGCGAATCTCTTTCTTTTTTTTTTTTCATTATTTCTCCCGCCGGGATTTTTTCGCAGCTACGCGACCACGTAATCCGCGCTTCCCGCGCAAAATTTCCTCTTGTAGCGACGTTCGCGGATTTCGTATTCCTCGGTGACGTACGTTTTTAAATATTGACGCTTCGCGTGTGCGTCGAATGCAAAATTCAAATGCCCCGAAGATTTATTTGAAAACGTATCTTAAAAGTTTTAAACATTCTACCGCAATACAAGCATTAAGATTTGAGCCTAAATTTTGTCATTGTCGCTATATATTTTTCTTTTTATTCTATCATCTTAAAAATGAATCATTGTACCATTGTATCGCGAAAATTTATTACAAATATCTGGACAAAATTTTAAATACGCAGTAATAATTGAAATATGAGATGAATATAAAATTAGAAATTGTGAATTGAAAAAATATCTTTTTATAATAAAATTAAATTTTATCACTTTCTATAGCAAAGTTTAATTTTATTCGCCTCTTTTATATCTCGCAAGATCCAACTTGCAAATTTCTCCAGATATCTGAATCTGAAATTTCTATGTCGCGAAATTGTAATTCTAAAAATTTTCAGCATTCAACATTTAATAAAATCAAGCGACGAGACGATACTCTGTGAATGAAATCCAAACGGGACTCGAAAGTCGTCGTACTTATGTTAGCCAAAGCGCGGAGCGGATGTATGAGACGCGAGAGGGAACCGGTTCCATCTTACTCCGAAAACAATATAGGATATCATGCTACTGGCACTCCAACTACCGTTGCATCTCCGATCTTTCGAGAAATATGAATTTCGACACCGACAAGCAGTAGTAGCAACCTAGAGAGGCCGTGTTTGCTTTTCGCGAGAGGATTTGCATTCGCCCGAGAAGTGGATACTGCGAGACCGGCAACACGCGATTCTTCTCTCTCCCGCGGCTTTTCGGTCTTCTTTTACATTTTCTGCATCACGATCGATTGCCTGAGATGGTATACGGGCTGCACGATAACTTGTACACGACCCCAATAAAGAGAGGGAGACAGAGAGAAAAAAAAGAGAGAGAAAAAGTGAGAGGAAGATGGCAAAAGAACGGAGGTATCGAACCGTAAAGTAAAAGAGTGTGTTGCAAGAGTCTGGAGAATATCGCGGATGTCGATATCGCGCGAGCACGGGGGATTCGACACGATCTTTGTGTGTTTTTCGAGTTTTTCACGTTACTGCAGCTTGGAGCAGTTTCCTTCCGCCGTGCTCGCGCCTCGTTCGTTCTTTCCAACGGACGAAGGGTGCTCGGTTCGGGGCTCGTGTCGACAGGCTTTCGTACGAAATACGTACAGCGATAAAATTCCGTGGTTACAACACGGACGACGTGCTCTCGGCCCGATTACCCGACCGATAAATAAATGTTCCCGACCGCCTGCGCGCTTGTCGCGGTGGCGGCCAAGAACTAAGTTCGCAATCTCGGAGAAAGGGGGAATTAAATCACCCCGGGGATTCTCCCGAGGTGTAGAAACTTTTGCGACTTCTTTGCGTGCGAACGCGAGAACTCGTTTCAATGGTGCATTTTCTACTTTTACAGGATGATTTAAAGTGCGTAAGAGAGCCCCTCTTCAAAAATATCGATAAATAAGAGATACAGTTACAAAAGAATTCAGATGCATTTTTGCATTGTGTTTTTCTAACAATTTAAACATCGATATAATTCAAGAAATTCAAGAATTTTGTGAAAAAATAATGAATATTTTCATTAAACTCAACCCGTATAATTACAAATTATTAAATAATAATATTGTATATTGATATATACCTTTGAGAGAGATTACATTTATGCTCTAAAAGTTTATCGCTGAACTAAAAGCAAAATTCAAACCGAGCACCATTCCTCGAGGAACCGACGATAAAGGGCAAAGGAATAGGAAGCTCCAGAAGAGCAGGCGCACTTACTTTCAGTGGTATGATGTTCTGCGCTGAGATATTAACCCCTTTCTCCTGAAGATCCTAAAAGTAGGTCAACACTACGGGTAAAAAACCAAATCGCTACAAGACAAAAACATGGGAGGGGAGTGTGAGGGGAGAGACGTGTGGTCTTGTTTCGGGCAGGAAGCGTGTCAAGGGTCTGTGAGAACTTTTTCTTTTTTTTTTTAAGGGGCAGAATAGAAGGGAAGGGACGAGTTCTCGTATTCTGCGTATCTCTTCCGAATCCAAGGCATGCCCAGAGATATACCTAAATACTGTAACTTAAAGTAAACACCATTACCAACCAAAAACCAAAGTGAGAAAGCGCGCCGCCGATGGCATCGATCATTCGGAGCGATTCTTTTATTATTCCATCATGTATCAAACGTTTATCGATTTATCAATCTCGATTATACATGCGCTTATTCTTACTTACCCTATATACGTCTCGATACGATTCGAGACCGTATTAAATCAGAATCGAGAAATCAATCGATCGCTAGTAAAGAAAGCGAGCCCGATTCGACGATCGAGCATCGGCGGCGCGCTTTATTTTGTATAAACCAACGAGAGAACGCTACACCGAAAGCACCGTACGAGGCAACGACTAGCTAGAGAACGATTGGGACGAGATCCGACCTGTCGCGCATCCGGGATGTATGCGACGACGCGCGGATTCCTTCACGCGGAGCACAAAACTGACAGATAGAGACGGTAACAAGGGGAGAGAGAGGGTGGACAGCGAGGGAGGGGTGAAAAGAAGAAGAGAAGAAGCAACGACGACAATACTGTGACGATGATGATAAGATGAGACGGGGAGAGAAATAGCGGGGGCGTTCGAGGGAGGAAGGAGAGTGGAAAACGTCCGTCCGGATCGCGACACCGAGAAGCGTGTCGCGTCTTCCGAGGAGGAGGAGGCCGGTTTACCTTGAGGGCGACGATTTCCGCGTAGCCGAGCGTCCCGCCGCGGAGCGTCGTCACCGACCTCTTTAACCCCAATCCCTGTGCATTGACCCGTAGGTGAAAAAGGCAAAGTTTATTTATTTATTCTCTCGTATACCACGATGTCATTGGCTGCGTTGTTGGCCGGCGGTCGATGCGTCGACGGACAAACGCGGAACAGATTGCGTGAAATTCGTTTTCCGACAGGCGGAATCTGTGCGCGCGTAGCAGATGGACGCGTCTTTTTTTTTCGCCGAGTCGGCCAAGGCAATCTCGCCATTTCGTGTTTGATGGATGCGTTTCAACGATCGCTCGTTCGTTTCACGCTGCCCGAACAGCGGACGAGTGTCGAAAAGTCGCGTGTGCAACAGCTGATTATATAATTTTAAAAACAGTGTGAATAATTACCGTTTTAATATCAGTAATTTCGAAAACTTATATTTATTGTTTTTAATTGTATATTTAATTGCTTTGATGAATTCAAAATTAATTTTTTCTCAGAAAAATGTGAATAATAATTTGCTTATGGTATTAGAGAAAATTTATCGTCATCATAAGTGTATCGACGGATAGATAATTAGATGAATTTCGTTCGTCGATCGTCGTAAATTTTATCGCACACAGATTCCGCGCATAACGTGCTCGTCGGAGCGCGGCAAACGCACCGATCGATATACCGCGTGCGCTTGTTGCGCCGGATCGAGAACCTCACCGGTGGTTTCGCTCTGGACAGCGTATGCATATGCATGTGCACGGGCGGACGCGTCGTACACGCGTCGGCGCCTCTCAATGGAATTCGCCGACGTCGCTCGACTTCCAGGACGAAGCTGACTTGGCCAGGTTCTCGAGCCTACGACGAGGTGACAGGAGCAAGTGCTCCCTCGTCGTCCCGATTGTGGGAAAGAAATCGCGCGCGATCGCAAGTGCGCTCGAGCGGAACGAGGCTTCGTCCTCTCTCGATCTCGAAAAAAAAAAAGAAACCACGTTAAATAAAATTAGAGATGTGCGAAATGATGAACTATCCTTCGGATAGTTTGACAGTCTTATACAAGTTTTGCTGTCGCGCACGCGAAACCAAGATTTGATTATCATGAATAAATGGAGGCGAATCAGAAGCCATCTGGAAGCTTCGGTTATATGATTTCCCCGAAGACTTGTATAAAGAGTCCTCGTTTAGTTCCCCGATCGCTCTGAGGGGAACGATCCGTGCCGCGACATTAATTTCTTCGCTCTCGATATTTGAAATTCTTCGGGCTGAAATCACGAAATCCGTGTAATTTATTCGATTAATCGTCGGTCCTTTGACGACGCGATCGAGAAGGCGTTAATAACGTTTTCGTTCGAGTGCACTTTTATCACGTAAAATGGGATTTGCAGCTTTACGCGCGATGAAAATATCGCTCCGCACTCCTTCTCCCGCCGTCCTTCAGAATTTATCCCATATTCTTCTCGCCTCTGCGCGTCGACCGCGCCGTATACACGCTCGTAGTACACACGGAGCTTTACAAGATTGCTCTCTGAGGGACGGCAACGGTGCAGGAGGTGCAGGGCGAGATATAAGAGAGAGAAAGAGAGAGAGCGCGGCACGCATTTTCGCGTTACGAGTGCGCTGACGGATATATTGCTTTATTCCTCTCAGATAGCGTAGCTTAGATACCTTTACTGCGGACAAGACGTCGAATCCGGGGCTGCCCAGCTCACCCTTCTGCCCTTTGTCACCGGGTCGACCCTGCGAACAAAAGAGACACTGTGTATTACATGGAGTAATAACGCGATAAACGGAATGAGCATGCTTTCAGCAGAAACATCCTTTCCGTTATATCCGGAACTATATCGCCGTCAAACATTTCTCGACTTTAACGTCGAAATTAATTTGAAAAAAAATATCGAGAGATTTTACTCTTGAAATTTTTTAAAAATTAGTCCTTCTCGCAATTATTTTGAGAAAATTTTACCATCTCATTTCCCTCAATTAAATGCCGTAACGGTATGCTGAGATTTTCTTTTGATGATTTATCTTTGTGTATGGAATTACAGACACTTTCAGTTTTAATCAAGAATTTTGCTGCAATCGTTCCGTCCTCAGAGATAGCGTAGAATCGTCCGTAACGGAAGATTCTGCAGATTTTGCTATTAAAGCAAATGAGATTTTCCGAATAATTTCGTTTATTAAAATGTTCTTTTATATTAATCTACGGAAATTTGACGCGCATGTGAGTTTTCACACTTTCATCGATTATTCATTTTAATTATAATATACGCAATTAATCCTTAATTTTTGCTCTTTAATTTCGCGTAAGATTATTATGACTACTTAAGAGTATCATTATCAAAGTAAATTCGACACATAAAAAAAAATTGCAACATGATTTGCACGAATATATCAAAAAGCAATCTTTCGTTATTTTGTATACTCGAAACAAATAAAATTGTTAGATACATTAAAAGCAATATAATTACAAAAACATTGAGTTTAAATTCGTGTCGCGCATTTCTCTTACAATTAGAATACGAAATATTGTACTGGAGGACTCACAATCATATTTAATTCAAACTTAATCAGATTTAATCCACAGTTATTGTATGAAGTATGCGAGAGAGAAGTCCCAGCTGTAAAAAGCCGATTCATTTCTATTCTACTATAAAGCCGGTTTATTTAGATTTACTTTTCCTCGCTGTATCAATGCACAACAACTATATTTTTACCATGCATATGGAGTCTCCTCACAATGCATCTTGATGAAGAGACTCGCGTTAAAACTCCATTTCGCAAAATTGTAGCGCTTTCGATTACGCGATTCAGCGTTAAATATTTCGTTAGGGCTCAGGGCAGGAGATAACGCGCGCGTATAGTAAATGTAAATTTCAAAGAAGGTAAACCGTGTGTTTGCGCGAAATCTCACCGCCGGAACACAGAGCAAACTTCGCGATTCCGAGGCAAATTGCGGCGCTACTTGCTGTAACCTGCGCCGCGACTATTTGCACGGAATCCGATATAAACGCCGAGATTCGTTATTCGAATCTCGGGAAATACCCCGTCCTGTGTGCGATCCTGTATTGGTCGCCGGCGACTGTGTACACACTCGTTTGCCACACTCGTTAAAGAAAACGCCGACCGGGCAAAGAGAGGAGCCCGAGAGAGAAAGAGAGAGAGAAGGAGAGAGGGAGGAAGGAGTCGATCGCGCGCGTTTGGCTCTCTTTTCTTTTCCCGGCCATCGACAGAATAAATATCCGGCGATATTTGCAATGCACTTATTGCTCCTTCCTCCTTTCTCTCTTTCTCTCTCTTTCTCTTCCTTTTTTCCTCCTCTTTTTTCCATCGGCGCGTTCTCGTTCCCTTCCTCTCTTGGGTACGGTCTCTCGCTATCTGTTTACTTTGTCGTTTGTACCTTACCGCCACCGAGACCAGCCACGTCAACGTACCCCTACCACACAATACATCCTCATGTATATTCTCTCCCTGGTCTGTCGGTACCTGAATATACACAGGGTGTCCCTGAACTACTATCGCACCTTTCATTTGTGAATTCTCTCAATCGATTTCGAGGTCGATTGTTTTTTGAAGGAAATTTTATTAGATTTTTATCTCTTTCTCTCGCCCTCTCTCTCGCACAACTTTTTTCTTAGTACAAAGTACTTATAATTATATTATATTATGGTCCATTTGCGAGACTAAGTAAGAAATGATACTTTATTATCTAGTTGCTCGCATCTGAAAAGCCCTTATTATCGTGTCGTCGACTCTTTTAATTAATTACATAGTGCTTGTAGTTAAGGGAAATGGCAGAAATTCCGCGACATCCTGTGCATTAACCGTACGAACATGTGTGTATATGTGTGTTGTGTAGAGACTACTACACGATAAGGTAAACTAGGCGGCCACAAAGGGCCACCAACGCAAGGGCTTGTCATGTGAAAAGATTTTGCATGTCACGAGAATCTTACATAATCAAGAAGCACGCATATGCGACATTTCCATCGCGCAATCTTGTATATATGTCAGGATAGAGATCGTAAGCTGTACAAAATTTGAATCCCAATAATTGAATCCAATGTGTATTTTCACGAAAATAATTTTCCTATATATTTGCGAATACATAGATTCGCCATTCGGCTTGCATGTTCAATGACTAGACTAGTAATAAGAATGATAAAGGAATGCGGAAGAGTCAATTCGCGCTCGCGTCGGTTCCAATATTCGCATCCTGCTCATCCACGCATTCAAGGAAATGACATTCCGTCATTACCTATGTATGACACTATTACACATTTATGGATGATAAGCGAAACGAGATGACAATGACGATGATGGCGGCGAAGAGGAGGCCGGTATACATGTGACTTTGTACATCTCCTACACGATTTACGACTCACGGCAGCCCGTTTAGCGCGAGAGGAAGGTAGTACGTAATAGCAGGCCAGTTGATGAATAGTTTCGAACGATAAATCGGACTGGAGTTAAAAGATCGTATCCCGTAGAAAATATAGCGATCGAGCGCAGACGAGACTAACCGCTTTCCGGCGAACGGTAGAATTAATAGAGTAAGTGGGCGCAAGTGAGCGAGCAAATCTTCAATTTAAAATCCGATTCATCTTCCGATTCTATTCGACCAACGTTACTATAAACCACGATCAAGAGTATGTACGCAGTTGTCTCTTAATAAATCATGACATGTCTACAATTATTGACTGTTCACAAGTTAAAAAGATACAGATAATTAAATTTGTACATTAAATTTTTTGATAAATTTTAACTTTGTGAAAATTAGCTTATCGCAAAAAATTGAATAATTCTTGATTAGTCATAATTTATTAATTCTATAATGATTGCAATAATAATGTAATATTAATAATGATGTAATTTTTATAAATATAATATATTTTACAACGCAACTCTCTCTTTTCGCTACATAAATATATATATTCATAGATTTAAGATTAATTCTATATAGTTATTTTTTCCAATAAAAAATCCAATACTTTCTTAAATTAAAAAACTTTTCTAAAGTCACAAAAGTGTCGACATTTGTCTGCAAGACCGCAAGTCAATATATATTGCAAATTTAATGCGTTCCACATTTCCGACCAATGTATACTGTAAATATCAAAACAATAAAAGAAAAATATTGTGTTTGATCAGTTTTCATTTATTATCGACAGAATAATAATAATAATAACAATAATAACTCTCAATTAGTTGTTTTTTCGAAGGCATCCGATATAAATGAGCGAAAACATCTGCATCGAATGTTTTATGTGATTTTAAATTTCCATATATTTTCATTCGCACTTGAGCTGCGCACATCAAAAATCGTTTGATAGCAGCGAACCCTCGGGTATCGTCCAAGTGTATCGCTCGTATGATTGATCATCCTGCATTTTTATGGCTAATTCGTTGAACATATGTCAGAAACAGCAAGCGAACAAAGGGGACGAGAGAAAAAGTGGTAGAGCAGAACGAGTCAATTAACAAACACGTAAACGTGTTTCGATTTTCATATTGAACGTGTGTAATCATAAATCGAGCATTGATCGTATATCTTGATATACCGACTAAATATCTTACTCTGATTTCGACTGAAATATAATGCGAAGTAGACCGGAAAGAGAGTTTCTCTTTTCGGAACAGCTGTATCTGACGGAAACTCGATATCAAAATTCTCGCTCTCTTGTTTTATTATCTTTACATCTGTCATTTCGAACGTTTGATTTCGTTGCGTTCATCATTTTTTCGAGATTAAACTTATGTCATGCGCATGATTGTATTTTAGAAATATACCCGTTTAATTAATCTGGAGCTGCATAAAGGTACGTTTTAAATAAATTCCCGACGTCATATCTGAAAATATGGTAGACGAATATTTCCGAAATGTCTTACGCGACCTCTTTTCATATTTACGTAATTAGGGCAAAATATTTAGATAACACGTTTAATTCTGTAACCGTGCCGAATAAAACATGATCAGCCGCGGTATCGACACAGTTCCAGTGAAATGAAAAATTTAAAAGATATGCATATCTCACATTTATCGCGAGCTGACTGTTTTACAATTTTTAACTCTTGTTTCTACCCGTGTAAATTTCATTTCATTAAATACGTATAAAAACGTATAAAATTTCATAAATCAATACGAGTCTCGACATTACTGCTACAATACTCTTAGTGTAGCCACAGTAATGTCGAGTCTCGTGTTGATTCATGAAATTTTATATGTTTTTATACGTATTAAATAAAAGGACATTGTTATTATTGTACAAGGATAAATTTTGTGGGATAGAACAGATTTTTCACCGTACGAGGTATATTATGATTAAATCCTGGAGCGTGTTTATAATTCTTATTTTATTAAATTACATTGAAAATATCGCGTGTGGTGAAAACAATATCCCGTTTCGCGCTTTGACACAATTAATTTCGCACGCTTGTAACATACATTTCGCGACGAAATTAAAATGTAATTTATACGAGAACTTACCGGGTCACCTTTGGGTCCGTCCAAGCCGATGGGTCCCTGAAAGAACACCGCCGGTCAGTGCCAGTCGTCGCTTTCACGCGTCCGTAAACGACGAACGAAGAAAAGTGAAAAATTGCGTGCGGGCTGAGCGCGCCCTTGAAAATTTCATTCCTTGTGTATGTAATATGTAATAAACATGGGCGAGCGCGACAAACCAGAATCATGATGAATCGTTATGCTTCCAGGCACGACTTAAAGTGCATGATTTTTGCCGATAAGTAGTAACATACATTTACGGCGACGCGACGCGAAAATGTCGCGACGAAACACACCATTAATAGAAACTTTATTCAGCACACGTAAATTTTTAACGTCGCACAGCTTCGATTCTGATAGGGCAACTCTTTCATATTTGATGCCAGGTCATATCCCCAATATGACGAGATTCGTTGTCATCGTTATGCGAATTTCTTTCAACATCATATTATTGATCACGTTTGACAATTAAATGCCAGTTATTTTATGCGTTGCATATCCAATTTAAATTTGAATGTGTGAAAATTTTATTACATGAATATAAATTTGGAAGTAAAATTTTTAATTGCATGAATTTAAATAAAAAGAGAGATGGCATTTTTCATTAATTAATCAGATTGTATGCGAATCGTAAATGCAAAATTATGAGGGATAAATTTCTTGCAAATACAAGTTGCGAAAACATTAATTTTTTTTTCTACGTAATATAATTACAATTGTATCGACAAACAAATCTCTTTCTTTTGTATTTCCTTGTAAAGAAATATTCCAGATATTAATGTTTGTAAATAGGTCGTTAATATATACGAGATTCTACTCGACAATTACAGTTGCATCGATATGATAACTTTGTAAGTCAGAAATGGGCGACTCTCAAGATTGCCATCAATTAAAACGACGATGCTTGCAACGAAGCGGAGAATGCAATTAATCTATCTCTTCGATATACAGTTGCACCCTCAGTCATCGAAGCGATGCGCGATGAATCGTATATAGAAATGAAAATATCAGAATCCGAGTTCACGGATCTTCGATCGCGCGTATGGATCATGCTGATATACGGTACAAAAAAAAATCTAAATGGATAGCTGTATCGAGAGCCCGAAGAGGATCCAGGTCAAGAGACAGCTCGCGGATAAAGAAGCAGGTCAAACGAGCAAGAATCGCACATCAGCGGCTGCATGATACGTATTAATAGCACTTAATGGCTGTTATATTCGATACGGTGTGATGAGAGTCGTGGTGTTCAAGAAGGTGACAGCGAGAAAGAGACAGAAAGAGAGGGAGCAGAAAAATAAAAGAAAGCACGAGGACAAGACAAACAGACAAACAGACAGATAGATATACACAGAGAAAGAAAGAGAGAGAGAGAGAGAGACAGAGAGAGAAAGAAGCGAAAAGGAGTGTGTGGAAAGAAAATAAAAAATAATATACCGGAAAACCGTTCTTGCCCGGCGTCCCGGCCACACCCTGTAAGAAGGGGTATAAAAAATTAAAAACTCGTTTACACGAGAGGTGGGGATGTGGGGGAGGAGAGGCATTACTCAGAGGGGGAGGGGGTATTCTCTCGCGCGCATGCAAAAGCGATTATTTCGCGGACCGGCCGATCGTGCCTGCGATATTATCGGTTCCGTCGCGTGTATAGTATGTATATATACCGGGGGGTCCCAGGGAATACGGACCCGCGCACGCACATACACACACGTGTACAATATCGCCCCGTCGCCAATAATTATTCCGGCCAATTAGATATTCCACGGGCGTATAAGCACGCGCGCGCACGCACACGAGCGCGCCGATTCCATCCCTACCTACCTATCCGTTCTATTCCGCCGGTGTTCCGCCGATCTGATCTTTGATTACGCGACGATGCGCTCGCTTGATCGCCAATCGCGAGGGAAATCCGGCGCGCGATCATGGAACACCCACGACGCCAGCACATCCAGCAAAGGATCCGCTCATCACGGATAGGATATAAATTTTTGACGATTAAATTCGACAACTAATGCTTCTCGGCCCTCGTTCATATTTATGTATATTGTACATGTTTTATTTTGCGAAATTTAATTACATATTGTATGAAGAGTTTCGTAGAAGAAATAAAAATATGAAATTATGTAGATCAAAAAGAATATTATAAAAATAAAATGTTTATATATATATGAAAATGTGTAACCTTGTTACTAATTAAACTTTTATTCTGTGGCGTTTATATATATAAAAGTTGGCGTATTTAAAGTGAAATTAATATTCTTTTTTTACTTGTGTAAAATGATACTTATTACTTCACATTTTAATTATCCGACATCGATATTTCTTTTTTTAGAGAGACAACTAATAAGAAAAACCAGCTAACTTATGACGAACAAGCTCGTTAATTTTAAATTTATATACGAGTTTTATCTTTGATCTAACGCGGTTACACTATATTTTCCGAAACTTCCGATTGAAGATATAGCCGTAGAGAGAAGCAACATCTAAGAAACTTTTGCTTTTTATAGGACGTGAAGAGAATAGAGTTCTTTCGAAGTAGAATGAAATTTACGACCGCGTTAATGTCTCGCGTATAATATTCGCGAATCACTCTTTAAATTTCGTACCTCGAACTTTCGCGCTTCTTTACTCGACGTGCGCCTTCGAAATGTTCTTAGTCGCGTGCGTGCACGAATCTCGCGAAAACGCACATGTTTACGTCAGTCACCACCACGTGTACTCGTTCATCGGTCTCGGAGTTCGGAGACAGCAGAAGGGTAAGAGAGAATATAACGCGTACCGTTAACTATATATACCACTTCATGCGTGGAGCTGCTACGCTCCCTAATAAACACACTCGTCCCCACTCATACACACACTCGTACACACGCACACACAACTGCACGTGCCATGTATTACTCTCTACTGGGACAGTATATATAGAATAGTATATATGTATACGATGACATGCCGCGCTATGTACCCAAGTATCGGTACGGGGGATACTCACCGGTGCACCGGGTTCCCCAGGATCGCCCTTCTTTCCTCTCTTGCCCCTCTTTCCGGGTGGACCTGGCTCACCGGGTGGACCTGAAAAACACAAGCAACAAAACTATGAAGAGAGCATGTTATATATACCTAAAGTACCCTCAACTCTCTCAGCGAGAGGAAAATGAGCATAATTTTAGCGAGAAAAAATATACGAATAGCTATTTCACCTCCTTATTTTACAACGTGCACGTTATAAAAAAATTACTTGTTTAAACAACATTAGATAAATTGTTTGATCCAAGCGAGATGTTATAATCGCTCGTTATTATAATATCGGATAATATTAAAAAATATTTGACATATTTTAAATTGATAATTAAGTGTAATTTCTAATGTTCAATTTGATGTAAAAGTATACGTATCGTTTCTTTACATAAAATCATTTAGTTGAAACAGCCGTTTTCGGCGAAATAGGAATGTCTATTTGAAGTTTCCGGCACAAGTTGAAACAAGAAGAATCTTTTTATCCTACGTCCCATAGAGAATAAAAGACTATCGCCAAATGGACACCCTATAGAGTTCATGCGTTAACGCTAACGAAGCGTTACCACCATAGTGGAAATGAGTTTTCGGGACTGTGCCCACAAATAAACTTTGACAATGGTTATACGGAGTATTCCGATTCTATTCGACATTTATCTGCACGTTTAAAAACAGTTTCAAACCTGGAATCTTAGGGAAACTGTTACGACGCTTTTATGTAGTCATAAAAGGCTCGCAACTTTCTATTTCTCTCCCCTTCATTTCTAATCTGCATCTTATCTATCCGATCTCGTGTGTGTTTTTTTTTTTATTTCTTTTGACCTTTCCACATTCTTGTGATTTAACGCGCTGTGATTTAACGTTTTGATTTTCAACATTAAATGGTTTCGTAATCGACGTACACATCTCGACGTTCGAGCGCAAATCTATCATTATCTTAACTTTATTCCCGCGGTTGCGTGATGATGAAAGGGCATCCGGTAACGATGGACCACCCCGTAGCGCGCGAACGCCGGCGGGTCGAAGTGAATGGGCGAAAGGACCGATAGATTTGACGCGAAATGAAATTACGTCGTCGTTCTCGTCCGTCAGTGGTATTTCTCGAAATCGAGGGGAACCAATGTGTAGCATGGGAGCGAAAACCCGATCGGCCAGCCTCACGGCATGCACGTAACGGCGACTAATTTTTTTATTTGACATTTGATGTTTTTTCGTTCTATTTGACGTGGCTTTGGTGACAGCGGCCGTTACGTATCGCGAGCATACACGTGTGTGCGTATCCTCTTTTCGGCTTCATTACTTTGGAAAAACGAAAATCCAGGCTCGACCCCGGATTTCGACGAGAGTGCAACGCGAATGGAAATACATGCATTGTACAACGTTCTCCGTTCCAATGTTTGCGATCCATCATGGTTGAATAATATCATTTTATAAAAAATGGTACCCGTATGCTATTTTATATCTAAAAAATATGAAACATATTTTTGGTTGACGACAAATCACTCCAAAATCAAACTAGCAGCTCCTGCACAAAACATTTGTAGAGTCTACAAATTTGAAAAAATGTACAACCAAAATTTTTACGCCAAATTACAAATTATTCTAAAATATGCAAAAAAATTATACGCATATATTTTAAATTAAAACAACAAACAAAATATTTAAATAAAACTTATCGTATCTCTTGTATACTTTTGAAACGCTATTATTTTCTGCCTTATTGATATTCTGCGATTCATTAAAAGTATCTTATACTTCCGGTAAGAAAAGAATTGCGTATTTTTTCAGTGATCGAGTTGAGAAATGTTACGAGTGATAACAAATGCAGTTGGATATGCATTTCCACGATAATACGAACAGTTCGCTCGAGGCAGAAGGCCGCTGCAACTCGTCTCTCGTCTCTCTCGCGTTATTCTAATTTCCGGCAGGGACCTACATGACGTTCACGGTCGGGGATCCCTCTCTCATCCCCCTCGTCCTCTCTCTCGAAGAACAATTCGATCGTGATTTATTCCCGGGGCTGCTGGCCGCTCGGACAAGGGCGCGACGAGAACGACTCTCCTTTTATTTTCCATTTATCGCCGTCGGCGAGCAGCGCGTAGGGGATGACGTCATATCCTCCGGAGAGGGAAGCCGCGAACTGGAGCCGCCCGCGGGTGCGAAGCGCATCGTATCGTAGTGGATGCTAACTTTTGCAATTGGAAAGCTTGGGGCAATAACGTGCCAAGCTACGCGAGAAAAAAAAGTTGCGCGAAAAAAGCGAGAGTTTTTTCATCAGAAATATCGGCAAACTTATGTAAACAAATATATAATTCTAACAGTTTTTATTTGTATAGTCATTTACATTTTATTTTTACAAGCTTTGCGAAACTCTACGAACTCTTTCAATATAATACTCTGATCTGTAACATAACAAATATTTAATTATCAATGTAATGGATTGACAAAATTATGACAATCGACTGTGATGAATATTACATGTACTTCAGAAACGTGAATACGTAACAAATTTCAATTTAATTAACAGACAAGACTTGTGTTAATTATTCAATTTAAAAGAGATCGTACTTTAGTAAGATTTTAACGAGAGTTACGAAGATATTTAAAGCTGAATTTCAAAAGATTGTGAAAATGGGAAAGAGACTTTGTTTTAACTTTATCATAAAACAATTTTAAAATCTCACCCACAAGTAAACGCTCTTCTCGCAACGATATAAATATGAATGAACGACCGAATAAATGAATAACCAATTTATTATTAAACCGAGTAATATGATTAATAAGGTTTTGTTTATTTTTATTCCTTGTTAATGAAGTATGATTAAGGTTTACGATTGTGTTTGGCCGCAAAAATTCGCCGGAACCCGAGTCTCTCGAGAGGGGGAGACTCGAGTACATTCCATTTAATAGACACGAAACTGTCAGTACGATCGCCCGTAGCGAACCGCAACAATTCCGGATAATCCACCCTGACGGTTACACCCCGACCATAATCCGCGAAGTGTGTAGAAATAACGACGTACGTGCCGATCGCGCGTATTCCTTGGCGGCAGCTGGCGAACGTGTATGTCTCCGTATCTCGAGAACACACCGGTTTTGTATTTCTATCTCCAAACAAAAAGTCAGAGAAGGCAGATGGAATAATCCGGCCACACGTCGAGAAGCACGGTCCTTTCGAGGATTACCCGGCGAGTGAAACGCGGACGGGCTGGACGGCTACTGGATATCCGGCAGACAGTTCTATCAAATTATATAAGCGAGAGAGGCGTGCGTAATGCGTGATGCTTTTTAATCCGACACGGATTTGCACGAGAGTAAACTCGTGAAAGATGCTGTACACATATACGAATTCATCAACGATATATATTATGAATATAAGCAACGTTTTTATGTGACATTTCCGATAGATGAAGGTTTACAAATCATTCAATTTACTGACGGATATACTTTGATGTGACAGATAAGAAAATATGTCATTCATGTATAATAATGAAAATCCAACTTAAAACAAATTTCTAAAAATTCACGTGTCACCCTCTCTCACCCTTAAACTTGAGAATTTGCTTTTTGCATCGTAACGCGGTGCCCAGGTCCTGCGGCGCGATAAGAAACGACGAACCGAGTTCGGTAATGCTTCGGTATCGAAGGGCGAAGAAAAAGCGGAGGCAGGCGCGAACAGGACGAAGAAGAAGTCGACAGCGGAGCGATCGATCGTTGTTGATCGGCATCGAGATAAAAAGAGGAGAGGCTCACCCCCCCCCCCCGCTATTCTCTGGGCGCGGTGAGTTTTCGCCTCTTCGCGGTTCTCATCAAACCGCGCAGATGACGGATACCTTCGCCTCGCTTGTCCGAGTACTTGTACTTGTCGCGAATACCGGAGTATAACGAGGAAAGTTTGCGCCGACGGGCATTACCGATCGCTTGCGGCTCGGCAAGAAAAGACCGAAACGAGCTTCGCGGGCCGCGACGTGGCCGTCATCCCGAACAGATTACGGTGTTGGGTGAATTCATAACGGGAAGAAAAAAAGAGAGCGAAATTAAAAAAAAAAAAATAAAATGATTGGAAATAAAAAGTAATCTAAAATGTTCGTCGCTCGAGAATTAAAGTTAAATTATTGATTTTTCGCAAAGTTAAACGTACAATGTTTAATGAAATTTTATTTTCAATTTAAACTTATTTATTATCGTAATTTATGTCACGTATTTAATTACTAAATATTTAATGTTAGAAACTAATTTCGTAATAAATAGTTATTTGTTCCAAAGCTCTCGTTAAAGCAAATCAAATAAAATTGATGTATTTATCGTTATAAACGTCATTTTTAATTATAATAAAGATTATTAGATACTCGGATCAAATCTAAACTGATTTGAATAGAGAAACGAGATATAACTAACAACTCGGAAATTAGTTCTTCTCAATATCTTTTTTTTGTTAAAAATTCAATTTACCGTATTATATAATAAACGCAACATTTTTTTATATATTTTTAAATTTTAGTTGCAGTACACGAAACATTTCCTACTCCAGTCGAGCTATAGAATGTATATCGTTCGCGTTTATGCATTTCGTCTCGAAGTAGTTCGCATACGTGCGATTCCGACATAAAGGCTCAACTGCACAGTAATTCGGTGCATCTTCATCTTTTTGCCGGATGATTCGCACGAATGTACACAAATGAGATCGCGATGCGAGACAGAGAATGACAAAGAGAAGAGAAGCGAGAGGTGCGAGAAATAACCGCGCGTAGTCTAGACACGACTGAAATACTTTGGAACGGGCGACGCACGAAACTGGGAAACTTTCATCTCTCGTTCCCGCGGGAATCTTCGTCCGTAATGTAGAAACACACACACTCTCTCTCTTTCTCTTGCACTTTCTGACATTGTCAACCCTCGTTGAAATCCCTCGCGCGAATAAGAACGAGATTAACGCGACGCTTTGGCAGGATTCCAAGGAGGGAGGAATGGAGGGTCGTGTATACATGCGCGATGCGTTAACGACACGCTCGTTTCGTAAAATAGAGTCACGCGGCTGGAAAATGATCGCGATCGTA